AGGTCAGTGACCCCGATTCGATTCGGCTCGATCAACCAACTAACCAATCGGCAACGCGGAAAAGAGGCAACAATAGGTGCGATATATTCGACTCCAAACGTGCACTTCTCGGTCCAAATGCTTTTTTTAATATAGGAAGGATAGCGGAAAATTAGAGTTCTGTTACAGCCTAATAAAAGAGTCACAATGTAACTTGTACTTTATAGGTAAGTAAAAAAATCTCATAGATAAATAAGTAAATAAAATAAAAAAAAATTATATATTCTGCCACTAAAGGGATTTCATATGTACGTGAGTGAATTTTTTTGCATGCACTTTTTGATCGAAATCAGAAACCTCGTCCGTATTTAGTACATAAGTTCGGATTTACTAATATAAATTGAGTCAAATACTTATGTTTGATTAAAAAAATGTTGTTACAAAAAGTTTACTACATCTTGCAACAAATAATAAGCTTTAATGTCTATGAGCAATATCAGAGTGTATGTTTCAAAAGTAATACTTATACATATTATATAAATATATTTTACATATAAAATAAATACATATATATATATATTTTATATATACAATAAAATAAAAAAATATATATATATATATACACAGGCGCGCTATTATTTTTATTTTCTCATGTTCTGTCAGTAAACACAATCTATTACTGCGATAACAGCTACTATATATATATATGACATGAATCGAGAAACACATCTAATTGTAAGAAATATCACTGAAAGACGTTCACTCATCATCGCGATAAAAGTGGTAACAATCAAGATCGAAAGAAACGTTTCTGCTTATTTACACACGCCTTTTCTGACCTAAAACATATATATGTGTATATATAATAAAAACAATTACATTTAACCTTATATATATTTAAAATTATATGTATAATAAAATTAAATATTATAATATACACAAATTTAAAAACTTACTTTTCACTTTTTATGAAAACTGTGAAACCATGAATGGTTACTTTCCTCAGTTTTTTCCTTGTTTCAATAATTGATTTCTTTTCATGACATATTTTATGCTTCTCGAAATTCGATTTGTGTTTATAAATGTTTCCACATGTGTCACATATGTACTGCAAATGACTACTATTATGACGATTTAACTTTGATTGTGACTCGAAATATTTATTACATACCTTGAAAAGAATAACACACGTTATTGTCACTTTGAGATACACAGTACGAAATTATACTGTATATAAAAATACAAGCGAAAAACTTACGTGGCACAAATAACGTGAAGACTGAATTTTGCTATGTCTCCATATATGATTATTAAAATGGCGTTTGAACGGAAACTTCTTATCACATAGCTTCAAAAGAATATATTACGCAATGTGAAAATGTAATGCGACCATAAAACTTTAATGCACAATACATTTTATGAACACTATATCGAGCAACTTACCGGGCACAAATAAGGTGACTCACAAGAAAAATGAACTTCAACATGTTGCTTTAAATTTCGCTTACTTTTATAAGTTTTTTTACACACGTCACATTCGTACGGACGCCACAATGAATGAACTGCTCCATGACCAACTAATTGGTCTTTTTTCAAAAAACTTTTATTGCATATCTTAAGAAGAATAATACTTTATTCGTGTCACTTTGAGAAATTAATGTGCAATATATTTTACAAATACAGTTGAAAAAACTTACATTGCACTGATAAGGTTTCTCACGAGGAAAATGTATTTTAATATGTTGCCTTAAATTCTGCTTAGTTTTAAAAGTTTTTTTGCATGTGTCACATTCGTACGGACTCAATAATGAATGAATTCTTTTATGAAGAGATAAGAGATTTTTTCTCGCAAAATATTTACCACATGTCTTAAAAAAAAACAAAAATAAATAACACATTATTGTCACTTTAAGAAATCGGTGCATAATATATTTAATGAATACAATCAAAAAACTTACATCGCACTTATAAGGTTTCCCATGAGAAAAATGAATTTCAATGTGTACCTGTAGATTCCGCTTCCCTTTAAAAGTTTTTCTGCATATGTCACATTCATACGGACGCAACAATGAATGAACTTTTTCATGCCTATGTAATTGACATTTTGTCAAAAAACGTTTACCACATACCTTAAAAAGAACAATATACAATATTGTCACTATGAAAATTTGATGCAATAACATTTTACAAATACTATATTGAGATACTTACTGGGCATTGATCCCAGCTTGATACTGGTTTGGTATGAATTGCAGAATGCCGCCTTAAGGAAGTCTTAAATACATAAGATTTCTCACATATGGTACATTTATGCATTCTCTTTGGAGATAAATGCATTGTTTTCAAGTAATAAATAAATTTCGTGCTAATTTGAAAAATTTGACACACTTCTATCTTAAAAAAGAATTACTTGATTATTATAAATTATTACATTATAAAAATTAATCGTTTATTACATGATAAAATTAGGGAGAGCAGAATAGAAGAAAAGGAAAAGAAAAAGAGAAAGAGAGAGAAAAATGGCAAGATATTAAATGAAAGAGAATAACATGGAATATACTTTAGTGTATTTTTTGAAGTACTTACGTTACACACATATATAATGTGTTTTAGCGTTTACAGTACATAATACCATCAGAAGATTGTTATAAATTCTTTATACGGTTTTTGTAATCTACACAAAAACAATTGGTTAGATGAATGTACGTATTCGTAGATTTTTTTTCACACAACCGTCACATAAAAGTAGCTTGTTTATAACCTTCTTGAGATAGTCATATAAAAAGTACTTACCATCACTTTATAATTGTTGTGCAAAAAGTAGAACTTTTTAAAACTAAAACTTAGAGAATTTTTACTATTAAATATTTACATATTTTTTGCTCGTATTCAAATATATATTATCGTTTTTATTAATAACTTATCAACAAATATGTTGAAAAAAATGATGAAGCAACGGCTAAACTCTAATTTGGCTGTCGCTACGCTATCTAGTAGGTGGCGGCCTCTAGTCAGACCGAGACAAAGACTCCAGTAGTATATTAAAACAAAGAGAAGCCTGAGAGCGACCAGGTCCATAAAGAGCCGTCTACAATGGAGAGTTGTAGGCCGTAATAGCAAGAAATTGACCAATCACAGACAAAGTACAGAAGAATAATCGATTGTGATTTGTCAATTTCTTACTATTACGGCCTACAACTCTCCATTGTAGACGGCTCTTAATGTAGAACAGGCTTTATAAGTCTGACCGCTCTCAATCTTCTCTCTGATATAGGTATAAGTGAGACAGCTATCGATAGTTCAACTCAAGATCTCGAATTTCGAATATTTCCTGCTGTGTGTAGGGACGATGTATACTTCCGGTGTGTTGTTTGACGTTTCTCCTTTATCTGTGCTGTAATTGTAGTCACTGATATATTGACCGATTATAATTGTTGAGGTGTAAGAATTTATCTAACAAAATCATGGTGAGTGATGTAGAGTTTATTTCCCACTCAAAGATTAGTTGCGTTATTATAGCGTTATTCTAACCTCATAAGAGGAAGTAACTATTTCGAACCAAATAAAGTAACTATTTCGTAAGTTATTTAATTTTATTAATTGATTATATANTATATATAATATATTTTTCTGTCTCGTATATCAAAAATCTTGTATGTTATGTTTACTAATTTATTTGAAGGTTCTTGTAGGGAAAATATATATGATAGATTTCTAAATTAATTTAGATTGGTGATATAATATCTGACGGAATTACATTCGGTGTATATTAAATAATAAATGGTAACAATTTTTTGCAGCTTGTCCTGGTACTGGGTGATTTGCACATTCCACATAGATGTAGTAGCCTTCCCAGTAAATTCAAAAAGCTGTTAGTACCAGGTAGAATACAGCATATTTTGTGCACTGGTAATCTCTGTACAAAGGAATCCTATGATTACCTCAAAACTTTGGCCAGTGATGTGCATGTAGTCAGAGGAGATTTTGATGAGGTATAGTTTTTTGATCAACAATTTTGTTTACTTGTGATGATATGAAAGTAAAGTAAAAGAGATAGGGAAAAATAAAATAGTAAAATATAATAGAAATATAACTTAATGTAAAAAATATAAGTAAAATATAAAGCAGGAAGAAGAGAAACAGAAGAAAGAGAAAAGTTTGTGTTACAGAATTTGAATTACCCAGAACAAAAAGTAGTTACTGTAGGTCAATTCAGAATAGGGCTTTCACATGGGCATCAAGTGGTGCCATGGGGTGATCCAGAATCTTTAGCGTTGATACAGAGACAATTGGATGTTGACATTCTGATATCTGGACATACTCACAAGTTTGAGGCATATGAACATGAAAATAAGTTTTACATCAATCCTGGGTCAGCTACCGGAGCTTACAATCCTCTGGATACGTAAGTTTCATTTTAAATTATAGATTGGATTACATGTAGGTGTTCTTAGAAAATAAGAGATTTTTGTAGGATACTGTGCTCTATAAACAATTACCTCAGTTTTGAAAATTTAGAGAATCTTTAGAGAATCTTATTGTAACTTGCTTGATTTTTTTAAGATCGGTAATTCCGTCTTTTGTGTTGATGGACATCCAGAGCTCAACAGTGGTCACTTACGTGTATCAGCTAGTTGGAGATGAAGTTAAAGTGGAGAGAATTGAATATAAAAAAAGTTAGAAAGTCGTCTTAGAATCTTCGGTATATGTATAATATACACTTTGGATATATAATATATATATCTGTCAAGGATGAAAATATTCAAGAAAAGTTTCACTATGCACGTAAATATTTACGCAATATTTACGGAATATTTGTAATCTTTAAGTGAATTAAATAGCATTTAAGCGTGATTTATTGCATCGTAGGGTGTTGTAAATAAACTGAATCGATATTGTATATATAAAAAGTTTTCTTACGAATTTACATACACGTAATACATTTAAAGAAAATATCAAATTTTTTTGATGTTATACTTTATGGCTGTAGTATAAAAAACAAAAACTTTAAAAATCTGAACAGAGGCTGCGTTTGCGCGCTACAAGACGCTTGCTGATGCTAATTTAGTTGTTCGGGGAGTTATTGTGACGCTCAGTTACAAGCTCTTCGAACGACTTTTGTGAGTGTAAGCACCATGACAAACACAATTGAAAATAATCGTATTGATACCGCAATGAATTACAATTTTGCGTGAAATCACAACAAATATTGAAATAGTTAAATAACGTGCACTTCAAGTCGAGCGGATGAAAGCAAAAAATAATCGCACAGCGTTTGAGAACATTTTGGCTTTATAAGCGCTATTAGTATATCGTATCTTATCTCGAAATCTCGAGTGATGACGCTGCAATGCAAAAACAATAACGTTAACATTACTTTGTTAGCACTACGAAGCTGCTCCACAAATAGCCAAGTGTGTTTATAGCATCAAAAGCGCGCCAAAACGCAGCAAGAGTTAGAAAGAAATAATATCAAAAACAAATAATAGAATTTCATATAAATTTTATATATATATATATTTCTCGAAGTTTTATATATGTACACACACTTCAAAAATGTTTATTACATATAGATTTTTTGTGTTATGGAAGTTTCACTATGTTTTCGATTTTACTTTGTCTGATAAAAGCGAATCGTGAGTTACCATCTAAAATATGGTATTAATTGCTTAAGCAAATTAGCAAAATTCTTAGTGTTTTCTTTTGCATCTATCTATTCCCGAATTAGCAAAAAACAGTATATCTCTTATATTTTAAATACATCATGATAAAAGTTAATTAAAATTATACTTAAAACGGCATTTATTGTTTCACTTGTTGATGCATTGTCTCTTTTCAGTTTGTCACACAAACAACACCAAAACTCCCTATCCAAAATAAAAGAAAAAAAGATTTGTCCCGATAAAAAGACTTTCAAAATTTTTTAAACTAAAGAAAAGTATGCGGTAAAACAGCGAGAAAGCGCGTATAAATTTTATTCAGATAGCAAGACACTATTTGAGTGTCAATAATTCAAGTGAAATCACCTTCTTTTACTACTTTTGGGATAACAAATGAAGAACACAGTATTCAAGGATAGAACATGCATTCTTAACTAATACCATTCATTCCACAACAAGCACTCTTACAAAATTTATTTATGTGTTGAAATAAAATTAACTGGTTTATTATTTTATCATTTTCTCGATTTTCTCAGTAGAGTGAACCCTTCGCCAGTGAACGCTTTAAATTCATCTGGATCTTTTGTCTGGAATAATATATGCGCAAGATATAAATTTATATTTCTGTGATAAGAGTGTACATATTATTTATAAATAAGCAGATTATAATAATAGAGCATAACAGATTATATATATATTACGTAAAATAAGTTATCTATTATTTTTATTTTAATTATAATTTGGATACTCACATCTTTGTTATTTGCTGGCTTCATGTTTCGCAGAAACCTGAGAGTACCTATCTGATAATCATAATCAGGTATTCCTCGGACATAGGTTGGCTTGGCGGTGGCAGCTTCTTGCTTAAGCATGTCTTTGCGCTTCTTACCATCTAGTCGGACGCCTTCACCTTTAAAAGGCACAAAGCCAGTTGGTGCCGGCATCAAATCAGCCAGATTTTCTACCTCATCATTCTCTTTTTTTGTCTCCCTTTCTGGTTCTTTGTAACCGACTGGTGGTGCAAACTCTACATTCATGTCACACTCAATGATACTAACTGCAGGACCAGGTCTAGTCTCTAGCACACACATTTCATAGATCTTCTGATTATATTTGATAGCAATCACATCGCCTGTAGTCAGACAGGCAAAGCTGCGCAGACCATTTTCTAGTACAGCCTTCGGGTTTGTGATATCCAGGAAGTCCTCTGATTGTGGCTGGAAGCGTGAAAATGTTGCTACTGGTAGTGATACACTTTCTACATTCAGTAGTTCACCCTCTTCCAGTAAGAGATTATGCATCATCTGAAGAATAATAATAAATAAGAAGAGCTATATAATTTATTTATACTAATTGTGTACATATATGTACATAGGCATATATATATATATAGCAAAATGTTATAAATAAATATATTACCAACTATTCACATATATTTGGACTTTTATGTTCACACACATATAAATTTATTATACTACCAAATTGTCATTTTCTTAACTCCAATTTTGTAAACTTTGGACAGTAATGTCTAAGCAATTCTTAAAATTGAAAAAATCTTATTACCCTATTTGTGGAAGAATTTCTAAAAGATTAAAAAATATATCAAAACTAATGTTATTTCCTTAATATAAAATGTTGAATAAAGCTTCTAAAATGAAGTTTTAGAGTTTTTGCAATGTTCTAACCAAAATAAAAAATTACATGAGATAAATGTCCAGGGTTTACAAGATACATATCTAAACAAAAATGTTTTTATTAGATTTAAATCTTGTATGACACTTTCTTTAAGAAGAAATGCTTTACTAACCCAATAAGGTAAGTAGACTTTGCCTTCGTCTGCAATAAATTCCAACACACCACAGTGAGTAATTCTGTTTGTTTTCTTATTAGTCAACTTAAACAGCATCGGATAAATAATGTTGAGCCTGGTTAGCTGTTCCAGAGCAGATGGTGGCATGATTACTAAACGAAGAAACGGATTACATATTCCAAAAAATATCTTTTTCATTTATATTATAGAATTTTTTTTAGAAATGTTTGCTCACTTTTTCCACCACGTTCGACATCCTGACGATAAGTTCCGGGTAACATTGAGACCGAGAAACATTTATATTGGGTATTGAAGGGCCGCGGAATTTCCGGGAACATGTTAAACCCGAATTGAAACTGAAAAGTCATTTTAACAAATTTTTAACCTCATTATATATCTCTTTTGTATCTTCAAAAAGTAATTTTTTTTATCGTAACTACATCCTTCTCGTATGTTTTTATGATTCTTACCATGCTTGGTAATCTTTCTATAGAATGTTTTCTGTAAAAATAGTGTGAATTTTGTGAGAAAGAATAAAGAAATTTGACACTGTTATTATATACACTCAACGTCAAAAACACAGAATTACATACATACACCAACACATACACACACACATACTATATGCAAGTAATAGCAAGAAAAGTCTGAGAGCGGCCATGGACGCATTTTACATATTCCCGTTCTCGAGCGCCACTATCCACGTTTTGCAGGCATAAACTATATAAATCATAGACATAAACCAGGAGATAAAATGTAATGTCCAATTTGCTTGATTTTATTCCATGCTATGTCCATTTTAACTGAATTATTTAATTATTTATATGATTATTTTCTACTTTTATAATATTTAACAGTTTAAAATTAACAATACCGTTCAACAACCTATTAATTTTCTTTTTATAATTTAGATAATAATTATACATATATTGTTATAGCAATTGAACATAGTTATTGTACATGAGGTTACATTAACATATATTTATATAAATTATTATATCAATATTATGTCTGAGATACTAAGAAACTAAGACCATATTTTTCTTTATTAAAAAAATTTAAAATTAGTATTGTTTTATAAATATTAATAGACGTAACCGTTAACTTAGGCCAATGCCGTAAAAGTTGGAAAATAGGAAACTTGTACTCCCGTTCATAATTCAATTATAAACGAAAAAAATCTTTAAACAATTTTTGAACTGGTAAACTTCCTTATGTCTCACATAACTTGCGCAACTTGACACTTCATCTTGTGTTGGGGAAGATGTTATTTGTGTATTGACTTTGTAAAGATTTTTTTCAATACATTTTATGAACTTGTAGTTTTACTGGAGACCGACAAAGTCATATACTTTTATTTTATGACTGTGCTCAACTTACTAATTTTTATTCCAATTTAATTTTAAGATCCACTTCGTTATTTATTCGTTAATTTTTGAATTATTGTGTGTGCTGTCAATGTTATAATTATAATTTAATGTAGAAAAACTACCGTGTGAGTATAAGAAAAACATTTGCTAGTGTAAAATTTATTCTAAAAATCATATATCACAAGAGAAGAAAAATTATGACTTGTGAAGAACACATACAGAAATTTAACTTCATCATATATTTTATAATTATAATTACAATTTAATTACATTTTATATAGATCTAAAGGAAAAAAACGAATTCTTTATTAATTCTCTGACACAGCAGACTTTGATGAGAAAGTTTTGACTCACAAGTTTGGTTAAAAACTTTTGGAGAAAATTTTTGAGCAATTATACTACCAAAATTATAGTTCAAAAGTAACTCAGAACGCACTGTCAGAGAATTAATTAATACACAACTTCTTTACATAACAAAATACACATTGAAAATACTAACAAATCTCGAAAAAGATTATATTTTCTTAATAGAACACAAAACAAATTTTAAAAACACACAAATATATATATTTTATATCACACACACATGTACATATATATCTATATATATATTAATATTATTATTAGTATATATAAATATATATACATACATATATATATGTGTGTATATATATATATGTGTGTGTACATGTACACATATGTAGGTATGTTTTATAATCTCAAAAAATCACAAAATATCAATGACTGAGAGAGAAGAAAAAAATACTTGAAATATTATACAAAAATATTACAAAACAATATTAAATTTTTTCTGAAACATTGATACACACATTATCACATGTATGTATAAGTTATATAAAATATAATCAAAATATTGGTTTGCAAAATAGTATTTCGCTTAGTGATAGATAAAATTTCCAAATATTTTGTAAATCTCTCTAGATTACATAAAAACATATTAACATGTATTTTTAAGAGCATTTATATCTGTTATGTGTGCTTTTGTATTTATTCGCCATATTGTTTGTTGTGATCTCATAATAGCATGCTTTAATAAATTGCTCAAATATAATAGTTCTGTCTTTCATATAAAATAGATCATATACTGTGTATATATTGATTATTGTATGGCTTTGGATGAATAGACTGTGATCGGTTTATTATAAAAATTACTTCGTAACTTTCTGTTCTAGATCCATTGTTTTCTTTACTTTGTAACTTCATGCATTGCGTGTGCCAGATACTCCACATTCTTCGATGTTACACCGGCGATGGAGATTCGGCCGTCCTTAGTCAAATAAATGCTGAAATCTTTCGTTAGTTTTTCCACCTATCAAAAAAATCGAATTAAAAAATAGAAATCGATAATAAACTTTTATATATAGTAAAGCACATTTTAAGCGATTTTATTTAAATATATTTTGAAAAATTGTTGTAATGTGTACATTTAAAAAGCTCTGTATTTAAAAAACGTAAGCAACTAATATTATTTTAATGGAAAAAGAGAAAAATTACCTCATTTGGCTTTAATCCAGTGTAACAGAACATTCCAATCTGATCGGTAATGTGGGACCAGTTACGAGTGCTGCCATTCTTTTTCAAATTATCCCGCAACTTTGTACGAACTGAGATAATACGATCAGCCATGCCTTTCACATCATGCAGCCATTCCTTTCGCAGCTCTGGATTGCCAAGAATCTCGGTGACTATGCGAGCTCCATTGATCGGCGGATTAGAGTACATCGGCCTGATCAGAATTTTTATTTGCGATAGAGTCCGAGCAGCCTCTTCTTTACTAGATGTTATCAATGAGAATGCTCCAACACGTTCACCTGAATAGACACTAAAGAATTTAGTTCCTTGATCTTTTTTATTTTGTTAATATTTGATTTCATATATATTTCTGTTTGCACATACCGTACAAGCCCATATTTTTGGCATAGGATTGAGCTAAGGCGATCCTATGACCTTCCTTAGTAAATAATCTAACTGCAGAAGCATCTCTCGTAAGATCCCCTACAAAAAAAATAAAATATTTAAAAAAGAATTGTAAAAAAAAGTTTTAAGAAATACTAAAAAGAAATAGAATTTGTTAGTAGTTTTTAGTTCACAAGTACCTGAGGCAAAACCTTGATAGGCCATATCAAAGAATGGAAATAGATTCTTTTTTTTGATCAAAGTAGATAACTCTGCCCATTGTTCTGGTTTGGGATCAACACCAGTTGGATTGTGAGCACATGCATGCAAGAGAATAATAGATCTCTCAGGAATATTCTGTCAATAAAGACACTCGATAGTAAAAACATTAAATTTTTTGACAATACAAAATAATATCAAGATTATCACATAAGAATTCAAAAAAATGTTATTACTTATATATTAAACACATTTATCACTAGAACATCAAACATTTTTTATATATTAGTATATGTAAATATTATTAATCTCTTTCATTAATTGAACAATTATTCTCAGTGCTTTTTATTTTTCTCTTCCAGACATCTAATTTTCATTTAACTTCAACACAATAAATTCCAATATTTTTGGTTAACTTGTTAAAACTTGGAGTAATAGTTAACTCTTTTTTTAGAAACTTTATACTAACAGATATGTCTTCTACTACTCCCTTGAAATCCAAGCCGCAAGTGTTAGGATCGTAATAACGATAAGATTTGACCGTAAGTCCAGCAAGTCTGAATAGAGGGCTATGATTTCCCCATGATGGAGTAGGTAAATAAATTTCCTTGTTTCCAGGAAAATAACGCGATAGAAATTGTGCGCCCACAAACAGGGAACCAGTTCCAGAGATTCCTTGAACTGTTGCATTCTATAATAAGAAGTATTTTTTGTTAAGAGAAAGGTGCGTGTTACATTTATCATTCAATATTTACCAGTCCACTTGCAACAACTTCATTTCCATCTCCAAGAGCCAGATTAATACTGTGCTGGCAAAACTCAGAATTGCCAGAGATTGCAGAATATTCCTTATCCATTTCTTTGATATGAATCTTCTCTTCTGCCTGTCAAAAGAAAGATCCAATAACAATTATGTACTTGTGTATGATTTCTTTTTGCAAAATTGCCAGCTCAATTATAAACTAACCTTACGAACACTGGGAAGAACATATGGTTTACCATTATCATCTCTGTAAGCACCTGCACCTAAATTGATCTTTTTTGAATTCTGATCTTTCTTAAATGCCTCTGTAATTCCTAGAATAGCATCTGGTGGTCCCATTTCCACATGAGACCACCATGAACTGTAATACATCATACATATTATTTTAGAATTTTTAATTTGTTATTCTGCATAGCTTTCTGTTATTATCTTTTGGTAATATAAATCACAATTATTTTTCCTTTTATATGAGAAAAACAAGAGGATGAAATTTACAATACACAATTTTAAATAGACTGAAACAAAATTTTACTGGACAAATTACAAAATCGTCCATATAGAAAAATATTTTCTTTTAACTATATGTTTGTTATAGCTTCTTCACATGAATTAAACAATAAATAAGTGTTTATATATAAACATCAAAACAAAAAGATTTTTAATATTGTAACAACAGTGCAAAAATATTATCAAGGACATAAAGGTCATTTATATCATACTGGAATCTTACCTAGACAATCTCACAACCATCGATACGGGATTGCAAGTATTTTTCAACAAATTACAGCTCGTCGCAACTAGTTTTACGGTGTGCGCCATATTTATGATACTTCTTACAAAATACTGTTTTTAATAAATTTAAACGTAATGTGCTCTTGGTTGTGGATAGCAAATGGAAGCAGACCAGGACCGTATGTGCAAGAAGAATAAATTCCGCCGTTAGATGTCACATGATTAGCGCAAAATGCAGTAAAGAATCCTCGTATATCTTCGTTATCAGCGCAATTATTCTGACGTAATCTTATATCAATATATTTGATCTTTTTTTTTCTTTTTAACATAAAGAGATAAAATTGATAATACAAATATCTTTCAGATAGTTTAATTTTTAATTTGCACGTCTTATCAGATAATTATTTGTTTTCAATCCCTTTTTTATATAAAAATTTGTGTAAAAATCTTGTGTAAAGAAAAGCAAAAATCTCATTTCGATATCAATTATTCGCTGAAAATATGAACGTAACAATATTTACTAAATAATTAGTTCCGTGATAAGAAGCTCGAGAAGGGGAATTGTTTATTGAAACTTTTGATTTTGTAACCATAGACACACTAGATTCAAATCGAGAAGAGAATCCTACCTACCGCGCATACGGAGAGAAAAGCGAGCGTAGTGGGGATAGCGTTGCGTGCGAAATTGGCGAGACGTCTGCTGACAACCAATGGCTGTGAAGTAAGGATTTTTCTGGTAAAGAAGATGCGCGAAACGGACGAGTTTTCGTTCGTTGAAATTCTCTTCTTTAATTGAATCGAGTGTAGAATGATGCAAATAACGCAAATAGCTCGCTCCACGAACGGCAACCGAGAAATAAAGATATAGAACGATGCTTCAAAACATTTGCGGTGAGGTTTTGACCGCACGTCGCATCATGGTTGTGATGCTAGTGTGCTCCGTACCTTCGCATGTAAACAATTTGAAATAATTGCTTGAAGAATTATTGAATTGAAAAGATGATAGACGCTACCGACAAGAAATTACTGTATAACACCGTACTATCGCAGACGTTTTCACCCGATGGAAATTATCTTTTGGCTGGCAATATTTATGGAGATGTTTCAGTATTTGAGTAAGTAATTATTTTAATGTATATAATGTTCTCCGTATTTTTTATATATACTTTCTTGTGTATATCATGTTAAAAATATTAATTACATTTACAATAAAGCAATTATTAATCACATTTACAATAAGCAATTATTATTTTATGACACACTATAATTACATTTTTTAATAAAATTATGTAATTTTAATACTAATTTATTCTTCTATTCAAATAATATATTTTGAAACAGTCTGGTTAAGACTTTAGGACCTAACAAAATAGAAGAAAATGAGTTGCAAGGACCTAATTATCGATTTGTTGCACATCTCGATCAGGAAGTCGCATGCATGGTCACTACGGATGATTTTCTTGTGACAGGAACACGTGGTGAAATATCAGGATGGGATTGGAAAATAATTACTTCTAGTAAAGCACCTAATTGTAAAGTTTCTTGGAACATACAAATACCTGCTAATAAGTAAGCATAATAATGGTTATATATGTAAATACATATAACCATACATCCGTTTTCAAAGTAAAATACTATATAAATTATTGTATGCGATAGAAATTTTTTCATTTTTAAAAATGTTATTGTATATTTATGTATAAATAGATAAATCATATATTTGTTGTTCTAGAGATAGTTACGATAAGCCAGATGTAAATTACATGGCATATTCAAAAGCAAATCATTTACTTTACGCTGGATGTGGGGATAACAATATATATATTATAAACTTGGAAGATGGAAAGATTGTACGAAGTATGCAGGGACATACAGATTACATACATTGTCTAGCAATAATGTAACTAATACTTTTATCTAGCAAGTTGCAAAACAAAATAAATATATTGATATTTTGAACATTTACATTGATTCTAAAATTTTCAGGGATAATCAGCTTGCATCTTGCAGCGAGGACGGTTCTGTGAGATTGTGGGATTTGCGCAAAAAGGAAAACACTAATATATTAACTCCACATTTGGTGGATAAAGTAGCCAGACCACGGTTGGGAAAATGGATTGGCGCTATCGATTTCACCGAGGATTGGTTGGTATGTAATAAGAACAGTAAAAATATCTAAACTTTCTGTAAATCACAGTTGCGCAAAATTTATTTTAAGATCTAATCGCAAAAACATTTAGCACTTTTGATTAAAACGAACAAGATAAAGAATTTGTGCGTGAAATTAGATATAATATAAATATACTTTATAATATTAAACACATAGTATATTATCAAAGAATAAATATGTTATTAACTAAGAAGTTGAAATTGAAGTACAAAATAGAAATAAATTTATTGTGTGTGATATAATGATTTTTTTTAATGATATTCTAACGTAATTATTTAGAATACATGTAATAAATTTCAGTTGTGCGGTGGCGGACCCAGCCTATCGCTGTGGCACATGCGAACGATGGAAGCGGCGACAGTTTTCGATTTGGCTGATCAGGGAATCTACGTGGCAGAGATTTACGAGGAACGCGTGATTGCCGGTGGTGCAGCAACTCACATTCATCACATGACGTATCAGGGCGAAGTCCTCGCCAAGGTACCCATCTCCAGCCTCACCGTGTACAGCGTAGTGCACCAGGAAACACCACATAAGATACTTAGCGCGGCTGGTTCCTCAAATTGCATTGACATCAGTACAAACTTCAATTATCGCGAGATGATGCTCAAATTTGCGTAATTTACTCTTATTAGAGGTATATAATCATGTATTTGTGCAAAAAGTAAGATATTGTAATTTACGGAAAAAGTTGCGTTTTTTTAAATATACAAACTTAAATATAATAAAAAAAACCTTAATTTTAAAAAATAAATATATTAATTTTAATAAGCTATATATATATATATATATATCTATATATGTTTTTATATATCATACTTCTTTTGTACAAATATACAAACGATATCGCGTAATATTTTTGCAGAGATATGTATTCGCTGGTTTTATAATATATCAACCCTCTCTTTAGGATGTTTTTCGTTGAAAAACTTCAATTTATGCGGCAAGACACACATTGTAAAAATAATATCGAGCAATAGTTCGAGCAATTCTGAATAAATCAAATTGATTGCGACTTGTAAAACAAATTATAACTTTTGAGAGATGTCGAACAGTATGCATCAGATTTATATAAATTAGTTTATATTACAAAAAAGCGAACTGACATCGCATCTCCTTGGAAAAACTATCAATATATTGTCTAATGAACTTTAGTCTGACAAGAAGCGGTCAAAGGAAGCCGTGGCCAGCGATAACCGCAGGAATAAATCCTTCTCTACCATCCCTGGAGCGTACCCAAAACCAGTCGCTCATATGGTCGCTTAGCAAGGCGACCACGTCGCCTTTGAAGACCGTCAGAGCATTAGCGGCGCGCGCTTCGTAATCGCTTCTGATTACCAGCAGTGTGTGCCGCGAACCTTTGATGCGTGCGTTTGCTGCAGCTCGCAGATACAATCGGTCGACGCTGCGTTCGCCGCACGCCGAAACCGCGTCTCTGGAACTCCGTCTGACTCTGCTACTGCGTCCGCGACTCGCTCCGCACTCTGATCTGGTGTCACGCAGCTTTTCCGTATCTGTCATGTTGCCTAAAGAGAGATGGGAAAAATGAAAAGTTAAAGGATTAACGAAGTATTTTAGTTATCTTTGAAATTCAGATCTCTTACTGCTAAAAAAGAATTTTTTCTTTCAGTTTTGTGAAAATCACAAAAGGAAACAGCGCTCACCAAGAGGTCGAGGAAAAACGTCGGTAGAGTCCTCCCAACAATGTCCTCGTGTCGGTTGCGGCAAAATTCCGAGAGGCAAACAGGCAGCGTAGCCAACGTAGCCTTCTTGGCCGTGAGGCGTTTGTACATACAACCACGTTTGGTTCTTGAACACGGCATTCACGACTGTACCTAGCGGAAGAGCCATTTCGTCCTGAGTACCACCTTGAGTCTGATATAATACCGACGGGAAAGATAGAACGACTGGAATGTTTGCCGGTCTCTCTATGGATGCCTAAAGTTGTGATTGTAAGTTGTACATTTTCTAATAATTTACATTGTTTTTTTTTTTTATTTCATATGTTTAGAAATTAAATTTTAAGACGCGTTCTACGTATTACTTCTTGTAAATAAAATCTCGCAAAGAGAACCGATATAACGTCACCTGAAAAATGTTGTGTACACACGTTGTAAAATACATCAATTATTAAAGTGCAAATAATGGCGCAAATATATTGTACTTAATCCTTCGCGGACAGATACAGGAGGAAGTCTTCCAGATCCATTCAAAAATTGCGCATCGGCGTTTGTAGTAAAAATTAGCGTTTTTAAAAACGTTTATATCTTCGAAGAAACTACTAGAGATTTCTTCCATTTGAGTTTTTTTTTTTTATCGACGCAGAATTGTTCAAATGTTTGATGTAAAAAAACAAAATTGAAAAAATATTGGAGTTTCAGAGACCCGTCTTGTCCGGTGGGTCTCACAAACCCAGTATGTCTGACTCATTTTTGAGATCTGTCCGCGAAGAGTATTAAATATAAAATACAAGTTGAGCACCTTTGTCAGGAACGCGTCAAGATCGGCAATCTCGTAGCCAAATCTATTGGGTAATCTGGGCTTGTGTGACCGTTTCGTTCGTCTATGCCGATGTTTGTCACGTCCGTTAGGTGTCGATGTCAATTCGCGAGACACGAGGGAAGGTTCGGAAACTGCTCTCTTTACTTTTTCCTTTTCTTTTGGATCCTTCAAGTCGGCGACTTCCTTATTGAAATATTTTTCCTGCGAACTATCCAATTGTCTCTCGTCGTCGATCTCTTTGCCGATAATCTACGAGAGAGATATTTAAAAGGAGCAAAGAAAGTACAAATTATCCAATTAAGGTTCTCATGACGTATTACCTTTTCCGTTTTTTCGATCTTCTCGAATTTGTGCAAGATCTTCTTCTCACGCTTCTCGATGCTGTCTTTGTTCTCGATATTCTCCTTAACGGCAACGTCCTTCTCCTTTGCGCTCTTCCGCGAGGATCTCTCTTTGTTGTCCCGTGACAAACCATCTCGATCGCTACTGATATCTGACAAAAAAAAAGCATTTGTTCTTATAAAAGAAAATAACTTTTCCAATTATAATATTTTTTTCTTAATAAAGCAAATCTTTCTCTTAACAACGTTAAAATAAAGTAAAAGGAAGAATAGCAAAAAGGAGAGAAATGAAAGTTTGCCTCCACTGTTGGTGCCCGAATAAGCGCCGTTAGATCCGGACTGCTGTTGACCACGTAGTACCCAAGTTAACGAAATCTTGGGGCGCAACAGGGTGCTCGGTCGTTGCCCCATGCTCGTCGATGTGGCGTATATCGAGGACGTCGGCACGGGCGTCGGTGATCTCGAACCACCCGTCACGACTTGCAACGGACAATCCGCCACCAAGTCCACCGTCTGCACCGAACGGCCATACTCCTGAAAAATGCATATTCTACTTGTCTTACGATTGAAATTTAATAACGGTAGCGTAGGGGACGTATCGTATCAGATTGAACATCTTAAAGCTGTGAGCCAGGATTATATATGCATTAACTATTCATAGGATGTACATATAACTTGTGTCGCGCGCTGTGTATCATCGCGCAACATTTATGTATTGGTATCGCGTCGCATCCTTGCATTTCTAGCACGTGGTTAGTCAATCGGAACGAAACTAAGTGAGACAGAGAGAGCAAAAGAGAGAAAGGAGGAAGCTAATACTCTCTTTATATCAACTTTTATAACTTTCAAGATGAAGAAATGCTGTCTTGTAAGAACTTATTTGTTTTTATAGAAGAGTAAATTATTTTATCCATAAATGATGCAAACCAAGCATCCTAGATGAATTTTTGATTTGAATTCGATTCATATTACGTGTACATTAAGTTACATGTTTAAATAAAAAACTAAAAAAATATATATATAAATATAAATTTTTTTCTTTAAACATGTAACTCTAAATACACATAATAATTAATATATTATATATATTATATATTACACACATAATAAATACATGTATAATATATATATTATAAATGTATATAAATATACATATAAAAATACATACATATATATATATATTGTACGAACACCTAGTCACATTGACCGAATAAATCTTCACTAAGTATTGAAATTTGTTATTAAATTTATTTATTTTTTTTAATACAATATATTTACATTTGCATTTAATTTGTACATATCTATTTCTCGCTCTATTAAATTTACAATTTAAGTATATAAAAAAAACTCGATTCTTGCTTGTCATCAAATCTTTTGTGTATGAGTTGCGATAATAATCGTAATTTGCGAAACAAAAAATAAAAATAAAAATCAAGTAAATTTTACACATTGTAAGTAATCAAATTTTATAAAATTCCGATAATGTAAATTCTGTCATATATATATTTTTAGATTGTTAACTGATACATTTTCATTAAACGATTATTTATATTGAAATAGATCACGCGCGTTTAATCGTTCGTTCCCATCGATAATATTATCTGAATTAGATAATACTACCTGAAATAGATAATATTATTTAATTCAGATAATATTATCGATACACATAATAAATGATTTACAACACACGCAGTCAACCCGCTCCCATTGACCTTTTCTGTTGTATCTCTTTGTAAAAATAGGTATTTTTCTGATTACAGCCGAGTTTTGGTGAACTGTCGCACGTATAAACGCCGATGATTCTCATCATCTCTGAAAGGATTACAAAAAGATCGTCATGTCTCTGTTCGCACTCACGGTGGGATTATTAATGCGTTTCATGGGCGTTCAATTAACCCGCGCGGCGAGTCGCCAGAATGAATTATTCGATAGGGCTCCCGCGGGGTCTTGACGCTCGTGCTTTACCCGCGCCGCGGAAATTTACGGTCGTCGCCCTCTCTTACGGGCGCGCGCAGATAAATGACGCGCAACGTGAAATTTACAAAAAACGGCTTGTGCGTCTTTTGCCGCCGTCTCGTAAAGTTTCGCGCGGCTAGTATAAAGACTAATTTGACAGGATGTATCGAAAGCTATGTATTTTGTCTCAAATAAAGTTCTTAAATACAACTGTATATATTTAAGATAAAGTATAGACGACGGATACATTTGCTATTCAAGAGTGTTGAAATGTGTAAGAGGTAAAAAATACACGCTCGTATCTCGTTCGTGAAAATAAAATGTGTGTATAGTTTTAAAATTTATGCGAGAGGATCACACGTTTCTACGTCTCGTGGTTCCACATGATGCGGTGAAGATTCTCTCCGGAATATTTAACCCCATTGACCCTGAATACATCCCTATCTCCTCTCTTTTTCTTTCTCTCTCTCAATCTCTCTCTCTCTCTCTCTCTCTCTCTCTCTCTCTCTCTCTCTCTNTCTCTCTCTCTCTCTCTCTCTCTCTCTCTCTCTCTCTCTCTCTTTCTCTCTCTTTTCAACGCGCCTCTTCTACCGAAACGTTCAAGAGTTCTTAGTCTTTATCTCCCTTTCGTTCCCTTTTTGTTCGACCTCCCTCTCGGTTCTTTTCATCGACCTTTGCCTGCCCTCCTTTCCTTCATCCCCTCTGCCGTCTCTCTTTTCACCGTTCTCCCTTCACATCTACTATGTTGCATTAATTATACGGCTCTCGAATTATCGTGCACGCCACCTTTTTTACCTTCTTCGTGAGAGATTCTCTCTTGATTTTTCTTCTGACGAATCGAAGGAATCGCCTATTTATTCCGAAGTGTCGCGAGCAGTTGAATTTTCTGTTTTTTTTTCTTTTTTTTTGTTTTTCTTCTCAATTATTTTCTTTCGCAAAGATTCGCAAAGATTCATCTTTCAAACATCGCGCTCGGTAACGATTATATATTGCAACGTAATTTTACAGCCGAAGACACATAAGTATATAATACACGTCTTCTTCTTTTTCCTAGTATTTTTATCTTGATTTACGATTGCCGACTTTTAAGTGCGCTTACGCAAAGTAATTTACGCAAAGCATTTTTTTATACACAGCCACGGCCAATCGTAAATCATAATAAAGAGCCTATCTATGCGCTTTCTCTTCTCTCTACCTCTGTATCCTGTATTTAACAACTATCTTCATCCGCGACGTACTTAATAGCCCTCGCCAAGATTTATCTCCCCCGGTTAAAGGACGCAACGATTCCGATATACTTAGAACAATTGCAAGAAGAATATCGAGAGAATTTTCGAACGCGAAATATATTATATTTAAAATCAATTTTTTTTTTAATCGCAAAAACGATTCCAACAACTTCGAGTTGTTTTTTTTGTAAAATCTAAAATCTGAAAAGAAATTCAAAAAGTGCGAGACCAGAGACAATGACCGATCGCGAAGTTCGTGTTTTTGTGGGAATCGCGTTTCGCGCGATCGGTTCGCGTCCTTGGGCGGGATGTGTTTTACGACTGCACCGCGAGGGAGAACGGGTCATCATCGCATCATGCGCCCATCCATCGGTTACGTTCGAGCCATTGAGACAGAGAGAAGAACAAACGGCCGGCGCGCGCGCGCGCGCGCGCTCGTTACATCGTCCGTTAAAAATACCGCCGACATAACTTCCCACGATTTTCTTTCTGTTTCTTTTCCACCCTCATCGCCGGGACGATGGTAAGGGGTGGCTGCGCTACACGTGGAAACGCGACCGGCTTCCGAGAAACGATGCAGTCTCCGTGCCGTACGGCGAAAGATGTATCTCGAGCGTGAAATCGGAGGGAGAATAAGGGAGAAGGGCGATGGGAAAGAGAATGCAGCTATTTGCATTCAGCGTGTTTTGCTTGAGAATGCAAACGGCGGAAGATGTTGAAGAAGCGAGAGGAAGAGATACGTTGCGCGAGACACGTCGAATAATATTTCAAGAAAAATCGGAGAAAAATTCAAGAAGAGAATTATGTAACGAAATTGTCGATAATTAGTACATGTGTGCGTGTGCGTGTGTGTGTGTGTAAAAAAGATACCTTATAGGAGATTCTATCATCATTCGGAAGACTCGGAGCAGCGGAATCTTCCTCCGATGTTGTCGCAGCTTCCGTTTCCGCCGGTTGACAGTCGACCTCGCTGCTCCAGGAGTGTCGCCTCTTTAAGTCCCCTGTACACCAGTAAAAAAAAAAAAAAAAAGAAATCTCTTAGATCTATTAGAAAAACAACAAGAAAGAAATACGCCAGATTTTCTTCTGATCTATCGAGACAAATTGTTTTGACGTGACGCACCTCGCGTGGCTGAGCCTCATGCTCTTTTCGAAACCGCGGATCTTATGAGAATATTTCGGGGCTTCGCACGCACGCGGGATAATGGAGAAGAGAATGAGTTGGCGGCTTAAATACAGTATTCAAGTCCCGTGACTTATGGGATTCGATCGGGCGCGGCGGCGGCGGCGGCGGCGGCGGCGGCATACCGGTGTGTAGGGCCCGTAGGAGGGACTTCAACCTACGAACTTGCTCGTTTACTCGCGCACCGACGGAATAACGCGATGGGGATGCGATGGGCCTTATTTTCTCCCATGAGAAGCGAGCGAGCGCAGCGCGAAAGATTTATCGGTCTCGCGCGATCCAAGTGTCGATTACATCGATCAAATCCGCGACCGAACAAGAATCCGACGAATAACGTTTACGGACGGGAATATTATCGCACACACACGAGTCTAACACACATCGCATTGCGTGCAATATCAAAGTAACATATAAATATTGATGCGTGTATCGAAGAATAACATTGAACCGCGAGATACTGTGAAATTTCTCTAATACCGTAGACGTTTGGTAGATTTATTTCAGGGGGAGAAGAAAATTTCAGATAAAAGATTTATATACTTCACGAGAGATCGTGAATAGATCACGAAACACCGCCGGGCATTTCTTTCGCGTTCTATAATGAACCCCTTGGCTTTCTCAAACATGACGCATGATCTATTCCATACGCCATAAGACCTCGTTATTCCGGAGCCGAGCGAGCTGTCGAGCGAGCTCTTATCGAGTTTCTTCCACGTGACGAGAGACACGAGAGCGATTCTTTCGCGTCTTTCGCGGACATCGTCTGACAGATGATGTCTGTATATATCGAGACCGAGAGAAAGAGAGACAGAGAGAGAGGGAAAGAGAGAGAGAGAGAAAAAAAAGTTATCGGGAACGAGAGGAACGAGAATTACCGGCTGCGCTACGTGACGGGTTTCCGCTTCTTTAGCTCGCCGATGATTGCGGAAGTTGATTAACATTTAGCCGCTAATCATCGCACGATTAAAACCGCATTATCATCCGTATTGCTCCGTGCTGTTTACTGATCACTTAATATCCTTAATGAAGACACTATCGATCGATGTCACACGTTTCGCATCACAAGACTCGCATTTCTGTCTTTCGATAATTTTATCCTTCATCTTTCACACGGATAGTATTTTTGTTTTTGCATTAATAGTTTTCTTTACGTGATGATATGATTTTTAATATTGTCTTCAAAGTTGGATTTTATTTTATTTTTTTTAATTTGATGTTTATTTTGTTTGTTTTTTTTATTATTTGATTTTGTTTTTTATTTTTTGATCTTTTCTTTTTTTTAAACACATCATCTCTGTAGAGAGGATTGTTAAACATTTGCAAAATCAAACAGTTATCCTTTTTTTTGTTTTTAGTCACACACAATCTGTCACGTGCAAAAACAGTGTGTGTTTCACATTAACATTAAAAATTTCATACAACACCATACCACTTTTCTATAAGGCACATCAGTGAATAAATTCTCACACTTTACACAACTAGCATACACTAAAAACGTTGATTTTTAATCTTTGCTTTTTCGATTTTTCTACAAATTCCCCTGGTTTTCTTGAAGACCTCAACAATTTTGCACTTGCACTGACTAGAGATTTATCTTTTTTTCAGACAGACGAGAACATAAACATTTAAAACAAAGCAACAAAATTAAGTTGAAAAAAAAAAAGAAAGATACACAACGCGGAGTCGCTTTTTCCTGCACTTATCATTGATCACCGGATACAGGTGGGGAGATTACAGGTGTGCTATAGGTTCACCCACAGGTGCAGCTCTGACTAGACTAAAGCGTGCTCGTTGCAGCGCGCGGAGTAGTACTCTAGGAAAGAAGAGATCCGAAGAGAGAGAAAACGGGATGAAGAGAACGAGTGTGAGAGAAGATAATACCCGGTGCCCCTCGATTGGCCCATCCTTCTCGCGAAAACGGCCCGGCCAATCGCCGTGACCGCGTAATTGTCGACTATCAGGCCTTGCAAAAACGACCCTGGCCGGGACGTCCAAGTCCCACGAAGTCGCCCCTTCGCGAGAGAGATCGAGACGTTCACCCGGTAAACACGCACTCCCTCGTGGAATATTTTCTTCTCGCCTCGATCAAGGAAAAATATCATTAAGTAACCGCTAGGAAGTAGATTGACGAAGAAGTTTTTGTCATTATCGCAATTGCAATGTTGCAATAAGAGATACTCCGCAAATAGCATCGCAGTTTTCAAATCAGTTTTTTTATATAATATTAGTTTTTATAAATAACACATACTTCGAAAAAATATGTTTATTAAGATATCTTATTTTATTTAATCTTTTAAATCGTTTATAATCTATTAATGTTTACTTTGTTTTATTTTATTTGATCTTATTAAATTTATATTTATTTTATTTGATCTTATTAAATTTTTATTATTAAAGGCGTGAAATGACTTAAACGATATATTATTGGATCATTGAGTATGAAACTTGACAAATATATACATGTGTATATATTTGTCCGAATATAACAAATAGATATGTAACAAATATATATATTTATAATATGTATATATTTGTTACACGTACATATATTTATCAAGTTCCATATTTAATGACCCGATAATTAAAAACGCAGCTCGCTAATATATTTGCATTAAAAAATTTCATTACATAAATTATAATCAAAGACGCTACTTACGTCTAAATCTCGTCTAATTCGCGCTTTTACAGTTAAAAAAGAAGAAATAGAAAGATGGAGCAAACAGTTTTGATTTACTATCTTTTATCTTGCGCCTGTACTAACATTTTGATTTTCGCGCGTTCGGATCTCATTCAAGCATATAAATTTATAATTTTGCGATTTTTGCGAGGTTTCTCCTGACGTCTCTCGTCACGCCTAAAAGAATAAACTTTCTCGCGAGAGAGGGAAGAAGGAAGAAGCTGGGTGGTTCGTGAGTGGCGAAGAGACGCGGCAGGGTGAAGGAGGAATCAAAGCGGAGGAGGGCCCAACGACCTCTGACCCTCCCTGGAAACCGTAAGGAGCCTGAGGATTGCGCGGCCGGGAAAGGGGGCTCGGGAATCCGGTCAGGGATTCACCCAGCCGAAATACTTGCGCATCGCCGCTGGCGCAATTACTCTCGGCGTGTCCCGACAAGCTATCCCGGCTTGCCGTACAAATTAATTCATCGCGAAAAGTGATCGCGAGTTGAGCAAAAGTCGTTCAAAGAGAGAGAGAGAGTTGGAAAAACATTTGTCGGAAGTTAAAAAAAAACACCGCGGGGCAACTGAAAGAAGTTTTCGATAACGCCACGGTTCGTTGGCGTTTTTATTTATCATCGCGGCGAAATTCTCCGACCGCGCGCGTGACTGATTATTATTAATACGCGATGCGCGTTTTATGATTTAATTGCGCCCGGACCTGAGGCGAGAGTGCGCGTACAATGATTCGGTGTGTGCCCGTTGATTTACGACTTCACACTACTTACAAGGTATATGTTACGGTGTTGCGTGTGTCGCTGTTACATCTCGACGATGTCTCGCAAATTTAACTTTTCAGCACACACACACACACACACACACACACACACACACACTCTCTCTCTCTCTCTCTCTCTCTCTCTTTCTCTCTCCACCAAAAATTTTTATAATAGCCGATCGAGAATTTGATCGTCATAATAAATTGCGATGATGTTCGATTCGAGAATGTAAAGCGCGCGAGTGGAATCTTTAGAAGAGATTGATATATCGAGGAATTTTCGAGGATGATGAAACAAAAGAAGATCAAAAAAGCAAAAGGGATCGAAAAGAAGAGGGAGCGGGGGCGGGGAGGAGGAATAGAGAGGGGGGAGGGCAGCATTGACCTGTGACCCGAGAGTTCTTACGCGAGTCTGATTCCTGAAATGTTGGCGCATACCCTGTAATCACGGTTGGTGCCTCAACCGGGCCCCTTCACTGATCCGTTTTATTTTCTCTCTCTTCCCCTTTCCTTCTCTTCCTTCTCTTCCTCATCTTCCTCCTTCTCCTCCTCCTCCTCCTTCTCCTCCTTCGTTCCTCTCCCCCACCTTCTTCGCGGACCACGCAGTGAATATCTATAATTTAAATCTCGCTCGAGCATAAGTGGCAGGAAATCATTGTAATTAATATGGCGTACATGCGCGTGCGTTCGTGTAAGTGCGCGAGGGGATATGCGGCGGCCCGCGCCGCCGGGATCCGATCGGAAGAGAGGACCGATTGAACGCGAGACGAAGAAAAGACAGAAGCTGCTCCGATGGTTTCCCCAAACTATCTCACATTGAATTCAAACATTTTTAAACAATAATTTCAATTTTAAAACTCCGAACCGAACACTAGCTTCGTTCAACTTGAAGAAAAAAAAAATTTATACGAGCAATTATTCCTAGTTCTTGGTAGAATTTGAGGAGAACGGAGCGACGAATCTCTCCGAAGTGTCACCGCACCAAATCGAACCAGGTCTCTCACGCGGTAGGAAAAACGGGAAATAATTTCGGTTATTTTTATCTTTTTTTTTCTTTTTTTTTCTTACGGTTTGCGAATCGCGTACCAACTGCTTTACGAGCAGCATAAATTACAGGGGGTACACGCAAGTGTGAGTGGGCGGAGAACCGCACGGTACCATACGACCGAGCGCCATAAATTTGATACATGTTCATTGTGGTTCGCATGAGAGACATGAACGCGATATATACCTTGCCGCGCGGTTCAATGGTCATCATCCCTTTTCTCCCTTCTCCCTCCCTTCATTCCTCTCTTTTTCTTAAAATCTTTTACTCTCCGCTCTTTGCGGTGCAAAATGCGTATTACAAAGAAGATTTTGCTCGAGATGTTTTTTTTTTTTTTTTGATGTTTTAAGAAAAAACCGAAGTAGATAATGAGAAGATCAAGCGTGAATTTGACTCTCGAAGCGGAGTGTTTGCAATACGAGACAATCCTATTTGTTCGAGGTTTGCGTCTCACTCGTGACAATCGTGAGCGCATCTTTATTTATTAAGGTCCTCGTTAAAGTGGCATCTCGCAAGTTGACAAAAACAAAAAGAAGGAAAAAAGACGATACCGCGCGTCATCCCAAGAAGAACAGTTTCTCGTTTTAGAGAAGACGAAAATGGAAGAAGAGAACAAAATCTCACGCGTGGAAGAGGAGATAAGAGACGGACCTTAATAGACCGATATACCCGCCTCCTCTTTACGTGATAATCCTGAAATTCTCTTCGCTTCGAGAATGCCGCGTGACACATTTTTTTATTACAACCTCGTACGCGTATTTGCTCGCGCGTTCTCTTTCTTTCCAATATTGGCGGAGATCGATTTAATTAATTATCGGAACAGAGTTAATTGACGCGAGCGACGCTAATCACCGACGAAATAATTAATGATGATCACGCCGCGCGAATCGATCACTCGGCTTCGCGAGAAAGTCCTGGTTTGAAAACGAGACGCATCTTCTTCTCAAACGAGAAGATGCCGAGAGGCGAGATGCATAATCGTCCACGTCGCGGGAATTCACGCATCTAATTAGCATGCTCATTAAGCGGCGCTGACATCTTTAGGAGACTCGACCGTGCTTGTACTTTCTCACTCGGTCTCCCGGCTTCAGTTCTGAGGTTCAGATTTTCTTCTTTACTCCGGTTTTTTTTCCCTCTCCCTCCCTCTCGTTTTACAGCGGAGTGATTAGTGGTATTGTAGTTCTCACGACTTTTTTTCCAAGCCGGGCGGCATAACGGGTCACCGAAAAAGGTTCTTGTTACGAGAGGAGTCGTAACCTACCGGTGTATCGGGCAATTTCCGACGTCGAAAATCCGCGCCGCCGGCCGCGGCGAGAAACAAAAAGAAGTTAATTCGCGACTTTAAAGCACAAGAAGGACGTTCCCGTTCCCACGTCTCTTCGGAACTTGAACTTTGATTTCGGCACGCGAACCCGCATCTGTTGATCTTTCCTCTTCGGAAATCAGAGCCCGTCATCTCACAGCGAAAATTTCCGATTTCCCGCCATTCGATTGTGAGAATAAAAAAAAAAAAAAAAGAGTAAAAAATATTCAAAATTGTGATTTAAATTCCAAATCGATAAAGATCGGAGTTAAAAACACACACTACACGTGCAAGACAAAAAAGTAAAAAAAATTAATAAAATGTTTTCTTAAAATGTCGCGTACGCAAAAAAAACCAAAGTTATTGACTTAATATGATTATACTTCGACGTACGGATTACACTTTGACTTGTTTCTTTATAGACGTGTTTGCGGCGCGATATACATATGTATTCGCAAAATGAAACAAGTAAGAGACATCGCAACGAAGAAGAAGAGGAAGACCTATAATGAACCATGAAGACTTTTACGCCGTAACTTTTGATTTACAACGGTTCTGTGACCGGTCTTAATAGAGGAACTGCCAATCCGCGTGAAAAGCTCGTCGAATTTCTTTTTAATGCAAAAAAAAACAAGATTTTCTGGTTTGTCTGTGTTTTACAGAAATTGCAGATGATAATAATATTGCAACAGTAAACACGCAAGTCGGATCCGTTGGAGAGTCGCTTTTTTGTTGGTAATTATCGCGCTCATTCTCTGATATTGCATATTATCGGAATATTCATCGCGACACCAATTTAAACGCAATATGTAAATAGTGTTTTTTTTTTTTTTTTCGGAACACTCACCATATGGAGTTTGTCTGCAGAGTCTGGCAAACATTATCTAGTTTGTGAAATAACGTCTTCCTGGAAACAAAGAGTCGTATCATGTTTCATGAAATATATATATAATTTTTTTTTATATAATTTTTATATAATTTAGCACGATTGTAACAAAATTCCAATATAATTTTGTGTATACATTTTAAATAATGGTTTTGAGATGCAATTACTAATATAATTTAGATATATTAAACTTCTCCTGTTTTTTATAACTAGTTTTTTAGAAATTTTGGCGCACTGTGTTTTATGTGCCAAGTTTATTTCACGTCAAACTTTAGAATTAAAATAATTTTAAACACTCTTGAAAATTTAAATTATGTGTATTTATAAGACAATATTAAAATAAAAAGAGAGAGAGAGAGAGAGAGAGAGAGAGAGTGTTGCATATTCAAAATAACTTTCAAGGTTTCACCTTGGAACGTATGAGTTTCACGTTAAATAAAAATTAAATTAACGAAGAACTAAAGATAAAATTAATTAAGCTGAAATTTCCCTCAATTCCTAAGTTAATAAAATTGCATGTAATATTGAACTATCGGTCTGCTTGCGAAGAGTAAAGGCTACCATACCGCCCGTGTTTATAATGAGTAAAACGCCTACGGCAGTCGAGGATCGTTAATTAGTATCGCTAATTAAGCGGGACACGGCAAAATACCGCAGATTTTCGATATGTCTCTTTCCGCTTCTCTCGTTTGCTCGCTCGCGCTCCTCGTTCGTTCTTTCTCGCTTTATTCTATTTATAGCGCATGCACACAACAGATTAATACCGGAGATATTAAGCTCCGGGTTGCCGATAGCTTATGCAAATGCGGTTTCAACGTTTTACAACGTCTAATTAAGCACATTAGCGTACTTCAGCGAGGACTTAATAAAACCCGGTGTATTCCGTTTCCGCATTTTAATCGACCGACTGGGAACTTCGCGGGCGCGTATACACATTATTCGGAGGTGAATTTCGGCAATCTCTCGGTTTTATTTGCGTATATATTGCGTAGTTTCTTTGCCCGTTTCGAAAAATTAAAGATTCCATAACGCTATATTTGTTGTTGCTGTTCACGGAATTAATCCTGAAAAAAAAAAAAAAAAAAAANAAAAAGCGCAGAGGCCGCATTTTCTTCCGCGCGCATAATACGAAGGAATGAGAAAACTCCGCTCCGCAAAAATTATTCCCCCAATGAAGTTTTTAACAAATATATTACAATCTTCATCGGTAGTAAATCTGTCAGTTCAACTTCGAGCACGTTTTGCGCGCAAAAAAAAAAAAAAACTACTTAGATAAATTATGGGGGAATGACAGAGGTTTCATCGTCTCGACGCGGCAAACACCGAAATCCGGACGCCACTTTGCAACCGCTTCGTTAGCCGCTTTTGTAGAAACCGAAAACTTATCTCACGCGGAATGAAAAAGTAAACACCCGAAGATTTACTCTTTGGATGGGAAAAAAAATCCCGTTAATGAGATGTATCCTCGTACGTGTTCTTGATACGGTACACATTCTCAGAAACTGAACGGTTATCACTCGGATAACCAAAGTCTCTCATGCGGGGACAAAAAAAAAAAAAAAAAAAAAAAACAGGATCGAAAATGTCCTCGATAAAGTACAAAAGAAGGCATATGTTTCGCTACTACCGTATCGTTGCGGCTAAAGGACGCGCTTTAACGGGAATACCGGATGTTGCATGGAGGATCCGTAAGGCTGTCAACGGCGACCTTGATTTTTCACGACGTTAATACGCCAATGATTATACAGGTTGGACCACTTTGCGCACAGTGTGACCCACTTTGTCTCTCCGGGGAACGGAGAGCCGCGCCGCGCCGCGCTCTCTTAACGCGGAGAACGCTTATAAACGCATAAAGAGGATGCATTTTCTGCGCCACACCACATCGTCGCGTTGTCTCAATAACATATCCCGGTTTCGAATAGCGACAAACGCGCAAAGAGAAAGTTTCATCCCTGATCTGAGAAACAAATAAAACTTTTTGACGGTCATTGAGAGCCTTACGTTGGACGTTCGTTGCAAAATATATATATACATACATATATATATATATATATATATATATACATACATATATATATATATATATGGTTAAATTATTAGAGTCAAAACTCTTCATTAATTGTTATGATTTACGCCGGTGGAAGGAAGCGTTATTCTGAGAGTTCTTGATATACGAATTTTGCGAGACAAAACACACCTAGTGCTTCGGTGGCCAAATTGGGAAAGCGATCGCACGGAAAGCGAGAGATTCCAGGCCTCGATTCCTGGCCTAGACTTTTTTCGTAACATTTTAAAATTAGATAAGGAAGTATACGGGTATTTATCATATACGAGATGCAAATATATAGCATTCTATATGTAGTTACGAATTTCAATTTTATAATTCAAAATTCACGTATATTTATACAAAACAAAAAAAAATATATATATATATTTATTTATTTCACAACAAACATGCAACATAAGGCTCTCAATGACCGTCAAATTATTGTTAGTTTTAAATTTCTAGAACCGAAACTCTTCATTAATTGTTATAAACAGAACGCTTTTGCGTTTTGAAGACAGGTCTGTGCGAAGCAGTCTATAACTTTTTACATATGTTTATATTATATATATATTTATAATTTTTTATATTAGGTATATGTTTATAACTTTTTACATGTATTTATATTAGCTGTATTTATATTAGGTTTTTTTAATTTATTTTATTAGGTTTTTTTTTATTTTGCACATATTTATATTATTTATGTTATATTATCATATATTTATATTTTTAAGTTATTTAATTTTTACATATTTATATTACCCTTAGGTGTTTTTTATTTTGCGTGTACACACACAATTTTCGAAACTGCGCAGAACCCCGAGAACAACGCGACTAACCGAATAAATATTAATCTCTTATTTGAAACACAGCGATATGCATCTCTTCTTGTGTTCTCTTACGCTGAATACCGGGTGGTCAGGGGGGAAAGAGGCGAACGAAATCCCGTCTCATAGAATTCCCTTTCTTTCTGGTCATTTTCCATAAGCGAGGCTCGCCGTCGCTCACATGTAACTTGATAAACAAGTTTACTCGGAGGAAGTCAGCGTCTTATATCCAGCGCTTACACTGGGTGTTCCGAGCATAGATCCGCGATATAATGCTAATTACCGAACGTGCGTGTAATACGCGAAACAAAGTGCGCGCCCCGACGCGATCGGATTCGATTCGCGAAGTAACATTGTTGTATTTGGCGATCGTTAATCATTTCTCTCACGCCTGTGCAATTAAAAATATTAATTTCGATGCGCTCGCGCGCGCGCGCGCGTATGTACCGTACGCGGGCCGGATACGGTGGGTAAAATCGATTTCGGTGATCGATCGCGCGAACTCTCTCGCGCTAATAATTCGAGCTTCGGCTGATTTACGAGCGGACACAATATGTTACCCGCTTCTCTTCGCATACATTCTTTCTCTCTCTCTCTCTCTCGCTCTCTCTCTCTCTCTCTCTCTTTCGCGCTGGTAACTCGTGCGTGCACACATTCGCCTTTTGCATCTGCAGAAAAATAAATGCCCCAGCTATCCGAGTGCGCATCCATCTTCATTTGACAATCCCGATCCGGGTATCGCAGACGTTTTCGCCAGCAAGAATTTGCGCGGCAAGTTGGCTTATTTTATTTTTGCCCCCTTTCAAGAAGACTCGCGAGAAAGATGAATGATTTTAAATATAAAAAAAATTTGATGTTAATGATACCAAGTAGGAAGTTAAAAAGTTTCTTTTCTCTCTCTCTCTCTCTCTCTCTTTCTGCTGTATTTGAAAAGTCACAGAATAAATATATATAATTGTATTTTTATTCGGTAATATTTTAAATATTTTAATCTGCAATATTTTTTGCATATTGCGAAAGTTTCTTATTTATATAGTGTAAATTTTTATATTTAATATATATGATAACGAAGAAGAAATGCTAATGTTGAAGAATCACAATGGAATACAAAACCAGAAAGTTACAGGACTGTCATTGTTGAAAAAAAACATTCAGAAAACACAACAATAAATTTAATAAAAACTTTGAAAGTCTTTCTCTAATTTATCTTCATCAAGTCTACTTTTGTGTTTTCTAAATAATTTTTTTTTTCCAATGATGACAGTCCGCAAATTTCTGGCTTTATATTCCATCGTGCTTCTTCAACATTAGCATTATAGGTTTATAAATGATTTACGTCAAAGAAATGATTGTTTATACCGTAAATTAGGTATGTGCTTATATAAGCACTTCCTAAGCCGATTTGGATGACCGATTTGATTCCGCTTTCCAATCGATAAACTCGATTGAAAGAAATCGGCCCGGAAAAATCCGAAAGTATGGATATTTGGCACTTCCTTGCTCGCAGTTCCTGCACTCAGGCCGCGAGATCACTGGAGCGTACTCTTCTCTCTGGTCAACTTACATTTCTTTGTTGCGTAGTTTTCACAATTTTAAGTTCTATGAAACATTATAATAAGGTTCTATTTTTTCTTTGTGATTGTGATTAAACAAAGAAAAAAACAAATAAGATATATATACGCCCGAAAATTTAACATAAAAATTTAATTTAATTTAAATATCACTTAAAATTGAAATAACTTTTGACGCTACTATATTTACTTACTTGTGTACCACCCGTTGCGACCAGCGACGTCGCCGTTCATAGTTCCACACACGATGTGTACGCGCGAAGAGACGTGCAATTTCGCGAACACTGCTCTCGAGATGTGCTATACACACGGTGCGCGATAAAAATTGCAAGAGGCAATTGCTCCCGAGAAACTTAATCAGAATCCTTCGTCGCGAACAAATTGGTCACTGTGTAGCTGAGGTAGCATCGTCTTCCTTGCTACACTATTTTCTTTTCTCTCATTATTATAAGCTCTTTTCACGCTGATTTCTCGAGAATGTAAATTTTCAGTCGCGTTCTTGATATCTCCTCTTATCTGGCTTTTTTTTTTTTTTTTTTTTTTTATTTCTGATTGTTTTCTTTTTGCGAAACCTACCTATGCTCTTTTACACCGCACGACGACTGGTCATCGGCCTAGAGTTTGCGGTTTAAAGCGAGTTCCGCATCGTTGGAAACTGCGGTATATATCTGGTATTATATATGAAAAATTCTCAACCTCACCTCTCTCTTGCTCGTTTGAAATTTGCGGAGAAGAAAAAGAGAGAGAAATATATAATACAAAATTATATTCAATATACTTTTGATAATTCCAATTTATTTTTAGATAAATATTTACTTGTTATTCGTTTCACACGCACACACACACACACACACAATATAGCGAAATTCTTCTTTTCTGTAAATGAATCTTCTTTAATTTTATCTTTCTCTTCTTTAATAATTCATTTTTTCTTCGATAACACGACTTACTGTTTCCTTCTTTTAATTATCAAAGATTCTCTTGTGTTCTTTCTCTTCGGTAATCGAGAGTCCGTCTATAATTTTCCGTTTCAACGATCTAATTTCTTCACGTCTAAAATTAACTTCTCTCCTCCTGCTCAATAACTTTTCTGTTTTCCCGTGACAGAGTCGTTTTTATAAATAAATAAATTTTTTTTAATGCGCACTTATTCCTCTGCAAAAATATTCAAAACGTATGACCTGGTTGTCGATCGCGCGCCAAAACATCAATCGTCGCGACGCGTCAATCAAAATCGCGACTCTCTACGTAAATTTCCTAGCGCTCGCGTGTTAACGCCGACGTGATTCTACTGCCGAGGCGAGGTCCGCTAATCGCCTCTCTCCTCGACGACGAGAAAGAGAATCCTCTTCTTGTCCCGCGTCCTCGTTTGTCCACTGTAGAAATCACTGTTAAATATCGCTTGTTTTACCCCAATCGGTGAAACTTCGCGAGAAGCGAACTTAGCTGATCTGAATATGGCGTAGCTGTGCGCGAAAATCTCAACGATAGGACACATCCAGCTCTAAATACACTATCAGTAATCGTCCGTCTAATTAAAAAAAATCAAATCTGAAGTGTGTCTATCGGTATTTACATAGAAATATTTTTGTATTAAAAATCTCTTGAATCTTTAAGTTTAAATTTTAGAGACAAAAGGAAAGAGAAAGAAAGAAAGAGAGAGAGACTCGCAGAATAAGGAAACACTTTTACTTGTTTAATTAATTTAAAAAACAATTTGTCGCAAGTAATATTGTAAAATTTAAACAATTTTGAATAAATATAAATAAATTAATATATAATGGAAGATATAAATATAGATAAAAAACAAATGAATAACCGATTTAAAAAACTTAAATTTAAAAAACTCGGAAGAAGAAATGATTAAAAGATGCAAAATTGTTTTTACTTGGACTATTATTTTTACAAACTCGCGTAATCGAAAAATAATGACATTTCGATTTCAATGCAAAAAGGAGAAACCTCGTTTCTTCACGCAAAACAATTAACTAATGCTTCCCGCGATTTTATCAAATCAATATATCATCCATCCTTCTTTCGGCATTATCATTATCATCGAAAACGTCTCACTCTTCATTGAAGTCTCGAAACTCACATCTCAGCTACGAGAGAAAACTATTTTTTTTTGTTTTGTTTTGTTTTTATTCACTCAACAAATCCATTCAATTCAATTTTGTCCGTGTCATTTCTACATCGACGTCCGCGCGCTCACTACGTTCAGAGCCCTTTAGTCAAACATAAACTTCGGAGATCTTTGGAATACCGATATTTGCGTTACCCACGTCATCACGTCGTATCTCGAGAGACGGTCTGAAACTTCGGATTTCTTGTTTTTTACGTTCCCTCAAATGAAAATCTAATATGTCAGTGCGTTCTCCGGGGATCTGATATCCCGAGGATAATTCGCGTTATCATCGAGCGACCTAAACGAGACTACTTAGAGTTCACGTAGAGTTGAGTGCGGGCGTAATAAGAGACTGCCCGCTCACGGCAGTAGCCGTGGTTCGTGCCCGCGAGCGGAGCCCGTAACACAGGTAACAGGCAGGGTGAGGTGACTCCTCTCAACTCCTCTCTCCTCTCCCACATACCCAGAAGGCTCCGAACATAGCGTACACCTCTCGGTAAAACTCGGATCACACATCGTGAGGCTGTATTGGTGGGTCGTGTACGCGTACGCATAGACTATCTCACACCCAGAGACGAGCTGCATAATGCGCATAATGTACATGCGAAAAAAAAATGAACCAATCGCGCGTCTCGTATTTAATAAAAAAAAAAAATAAAAAAAAAAAAAATGTCAACAATATGGCGTCCTTCGCACAGGACACTTCATTGGTTCGTTTTCCATCTACTTTTATAATTGTAATAGTTTAGTTATATCTTATGCAAAAATTTATTTATAATGCAAATATAGACGTTCTAAAAATATTTAATCTTGAAAAACAATTAAAGAGTAGGATTTAAAAAAATCTATGCACGGATGATATCAGTGTGACTTTGGATAAAGTTTTCAAAAAACTCTCGATGTGAAAGTTATGGTAGAATTTTGTAAATTTAAATACAATTGAACACAACATCTTGTTAAAATTAAGAGATGTTGTCGGTTTCTTTTATATTATTATTGTTAAATGTGATTTCTTAGTTTTTTCTTGACTACATTTAATTCTGACATTCTTCTAGTTGTGAACATTTTTTTATTTTGAAGAAGACCAAGAGTTACGATCTCTCGTAAATAATTATTATATTTTACTACGAGTTTTTTTACTGTGTACGAGCATTTCATGTTTGGTTCCATGTAATTTCTGAACTTCTCAAAGTTTTAGTATCGCTGGCCATTAACCTGCGTAATATAAAATTAGTATTGAACCAATTGCTAATAAAACCAAAACTTGACTTTTATTAATTATATGAATATCTATAGATATGGTCTCTCTTTTTCTTTTCTTCTAAACAGAAGTTTTCAAATTGCCAGTACATACGTACATACTCAATTTGTTTTATAATTGTAATTATTATTTTATATTGAATATTATTTAGGAAATCAACTCAAAATGGTGGCCCAAGCTTCTTCAGTTTTCTTAGAAGCTCTGGTTTTGTTATCAATGCCTTGTGAACGGATTCAATCAATACTTTTGTTTGATCGTAAGGTGGAAACGGTATGCCCTCGAGATTATAGACGTAAACAACACCTTCGGCGTCCGCAACTATCAGTTGATCTCCATTTGTCGTGAAGTCAGCGGCGACCAATCTTGCCCCGTTTCTCGAAACTGTTATAGAAGTCGGTACATGCGTTTTTCTACGAATATCCCACATGCATATCTGGTCATTAATAATGCTAGCAATGATAGTAGAATACGTAGGACTCCAGCAAGCGTTCCTCACGCACGCCATTGCCGTCGATAAGGTGATAAGCGGCTCGGTGACACCTTCGGCCCAGATTCTGGTACACCAATCAGCGCCGCAAGTTAGGTACAATTTTTGGCAAAAGGGCGAAAATTCTAAAGAATAAACCGGACCGTTGTGTGCCAGGAAACAATCTATATAATGATACAAATAATTCGTGGAACATCGATAAATGCAACCCTCGTCGGAGCCGACGAAATAGATGTTGCTACTGGTAGGATGTCTTCGGAGAACGAGAGCGCCCGGTTGACGACTGATGAGCACGTCGTAGGTCACGCAGTGGTCAGTTCTAGATATTCCGGCCAATTTACCTTCAACTCTGTACAAGCGCATGATTTCCGTGGCGAGCAAATCCTCGCCGAAACGATAGCAATACACCCGACCATCCTGGTCGCTGGTGTATATTTGCTCTTGGTAGTCAAATTGCTCATCGCCAACCCACCACTGCACCTATCGATTAAAATATAAGAAAATATTAATAGTGTGATGCCAACACAAAATATTCAATTATTGCGAATAAGAATTTTTTGCGTTCGCGCACACACCTGCCACTGCGGCGAACTAGCGATCGACGTTTCCCTGCAACTCTGTCTAATAACGTTTACTTCCTTAGCCCTGACATCGATAACTTTCACATTCCCGTTGTAAAAACCAACTGCCAAAAGATTAGGTCGCTCTTTGCTCCAATTGATATCGGACAGCGGACTGTCGAAGGTGTATGTACGATCGGGCTGGCTAGGATTCTTGGCGCACCAGATTAGCAACAGTCCGTTAGTTCTGTCAGATCCAGTTTTGGCGCCGTAAGCAACGGCGAGAACGTTCGCGTTCAACGGGCTCCAACGGAACGCAGCCACGGAACGATCGCGCGCCGCTTCGCACGTGTACGTCCACAGCAAATCCAGACGATAATTAAACTCCAGATCTAAAGCGTACGGATCGCGCTTGGTCAAACCAGTAAAGCGCTTCTGTGCCGCCACAAATACGTTGTTCGCAAGTATACGCTCCATCACGCATGCCGCGTCCAGAAAACGTGACTCGCGATAAATGCGGGATAGTTGCTCCTCGGGGCTCGGATCGAGAACCGCTTCGGAATCGGGAAGTTTGTACCACAGTTCCTGTCACCAAAATACATAATGATATAAAGTGTTCTTCTTAGAGAAATAAAAAATTTCTTTTAAATAAAGATTTCTTCTCTCTTTTTCTCTCTTCTCTGTTGTTTTTTTTATTACAATATATAAAATTTTACTTATTATAAACTTTATTAACATAGACATGTTATTTCTCAAACTGATTTATACTCATATATTTATCGCTAAAAAGTTCTTGCGTTTTAAGTTCTTGACAGTTTGAGAAATAACATAGACATGTCAAATATAACATGTCTATGTTATTTCTCAAACTGTCAAGAACTTAAAACGCAAGAACTTTTTAGCGATAAATATATGAGTATAAATCAGTTTGAGAAATAACATGTCTATGTTAATAAAGTTTATAATAAGTAAAATTTTATATATTGTAATAAAAAAACAACAGAGAAGAGAGAAAAAGAGAGAAGAAATCTTTATTTAAAAGAAATAACATAGACATGTTATTTCTCAAACTGTCAAGAACTTAATAAAGTTTATAATAAGTAAAATTTATTTATAGAAGTGAATGTCATTCAAAAACGCTTACTTGCGCTTGCCGCATTCGATCCATTGATTCCCTCGAATGCACAATCATACGTCCATCCTTCTCTATCATCAATTCTGGCGCCGCGTAAGTGTCATGCATTGTCCAGTTGTTTACAAACACACCCCGACTTTTGCGGGGCCTAACACCCAAGAAGGTGCCACGCGATTTAGTCAGTACGCGTATTGTTTGCGTTTCGACATCTAGTAGCTTCCGAGTGGAACCCGGCCCTACCGTTACGTATTCGTAATTCTCATTTTCTCGTTGAACAGCCTGTCCTTCGGTTGATCGCAGATCCTCAGTCAGCTGTGGCATTTCAAAAATGAAGAACGTCTGCGTTTCTCTCAAGATGATCGTCACCTTTTCCGGGCGGGTTGCGAACGTCGTCATGTCATCGCTGCGACAGTACAATAGCGGCTGTTATTATTTTCATTATTATAATAATATTATACAAAATTATTTTGGTGTAACTGATCTAGAAAAAAAGAATTCATAGCTTTTTAAAACAATGTTCGCCTCTTTGCTTATCTTGTTATTTATGGAATATAAATGGACTTTAATTAAAGAAATTTTTTGATATTTTGTACGTGCCAACTTGATAGATTTCTTTTCATTTTTCTTCCAAAAACACTCGATATTTAAAGACAATTTTTTGCGAGTCATTTTGAACCAATAGAAATAACACGAATCGTTACCTAGGCAGAAAAAATGCCGGTGGCTCTTCATCTTCATCATCTTCCTCACTGAGCTTGCAAAGCTGCGTTGAAAGTAGACTCTCTAACTGAAAATCATCAGTCGGCATCGAAGAGGACTTGAGAAAAGCGGAAGAACTAGTCTTGAGACTGCCGCTGATCCTCGAAGAAGATGCCATCAGTTGGGATACGCTTCCTGTCTGGAGCTCAATAGTTTCGAAGGCGGTCAGCTGACCCTCATCAATGGTACTGAACGCTGTGTGAACCAGCGGTTTCGGCGTGACGTCGACATTGTCGCGAATTACACGAAGAGCCTGTCGTTGCTGAAGAAGAGCCGAGGCAACGTTCCGTTCGTATCCAATCTTGCGACCCCGTCCTAACGTGTTAAGTTTTATTGTCGACGAAGCAGCACTGGGAATTGCGGACGATGCTCTTTGCGGCGATTCGAAATCGCCGATTCTCATTCTACGAATATTCGACAATTCACAGAGACATTGAAGCGGCACTGCTTTTGGAATGCGTGCCGCGCTTTCCAAAAAAACCCGACTATTTCCGCGATTCCATGGAGATGCTTAATCGATTTCGCAGTGTGAAGAGAAATGGAAAGAGAATAGGTATGTGCTTACGCAAATGGAGTACCGCGTTACGCGAACAAATTTTTTCTCTTGCTTCTGTTCGTCACCCAATCATTCAAGATGCACATATAAACAATTTAAAAAATTAATTTTTTTTTATAACAAACTTTTTTCTCTTTTTTAAATATTGCGTTGGTCTTGCGATCTCTCTTCGAGCGGGCGAGTGCTATGTACGGAGTTAATTCAAATTCAAATGCAGTGCCGTCGCATGTAAAAGATAAACCCTAAGTCACTGTGTGCCGCACTACCAACTTAAAAAATGTCACTTTTGACAGAGAGAAGACTGACAATTAAGAGCGGCAAAAGCCATATGAAAAACTGTAATAGCTTTTCCGCCATGTAAGCCAGCGCTATGTCCATGGGTGGTGCACATTTGCAACTACAGCATAGTTCACGAGCGACTTGTCGGTGCATGCTACGTTCAAGCGTGAATTCACATAGTAACTGGTCAAGCTCATATCTGGATCGGTTCACATCATGACCGATTAGGATTAGGATTACGTTCACATCTTGATTGGTTAGGTTAGGTTAGGTTAGGTTAGGTTAGGTTAGGTTAGGTTAGGTTCACATCTTAGGTCTTTTCTTTTTCCATACTTTGGCTGCACTAGTTTACAGTCTATCTTTTTCCTTTTAATATAGATAAAAAAAGATAGACTGTGAATTAGTGCAGCCAAAGTATGGAAAAAGAACAGACCTCTTGACTGATTAAGTTCACAGTCTGACTTGTTAGTTTAGGTTTAGAGGTTATGTTAGGGTTAGGGTTAGGTTCACAGTGTGACCTAGTGTTTCTAGCCGACCAGAATGTAAACATAACCTAACCGATCATGATGTGAACCCTAACCTAACCGATCATAACGTGGACTGAAGTTTTTAGGATCGGAACAGAATAGAACCGCTGTGAACATAGAACCATGTCCACGTTTGGACATAGCGCACGCAGAGATGCCAGTTCGTGGACTTAGTAAGCATTCAGCATCAAGTGGAGGGGATACGCACACAGGCGACAGCCGTGTCCGTGTGGTTGGCCAACCATTGGCCGAAGCGCCGAGCGCACACGGACACGGTTGTCGCCTGTGTGCGTATCCCCTCCACTTGATGCTGAATGCTTACTAAGTCCACGAACTGGCATCTCTGAGCGCACGCACTGACAAGTCGTTCGTAGACATTGCTGTAGTTGCCATTGTTCACCACCCATGGACATAGAGCCAGAGATGCCAGATCGGAGACTCAGTAAGCATGCAACAGCAAGTGGAGGGGATACGCACACACGCGACAGCCGTGTCCGTGTGCGCTCGGCGCTTCGGCCAATGGTTGGCCAACCACACGGACACGGCTGTCGCCTGTGTGCGTATCCCCTCCACTTGCTGTTGCATGCTTACTGAGTCTCCGATCTGGCATCTCTGCATAGAGCTGGTTCACATAGCGGAAAAACTAGGTATTACAGTTTTTCATATGGCCCTGACCGCTCTCTGTCTTCTCTCTGCTTTTGAATGCAGTCATGGCTGCATTGAGGATGCGTTTGCTTTGGACGCTTACGCGCTTTGAGCGTCGATCTATCTTTGTTCTATATGATAATTTATCAAGAGGTTCGTTTTAATTTCCCTGCTCTGGTTGCACTAATTCACAGTCTATCTTTTTTCTTCTAATATAAAAAAATAAAAAAAAGAAATAGTGAACTAGTGCAGCCAGTGCAGGAAATAAAACAAATCTAAGATAGTTGAAACTGCACAAGAAATATTACATTACCGATGTATTTTCCATGTGCGCGCGTATAGCATTTTTCATAACAAAAATATATATATTTATGACCACATATAAATATCTTTATTTCTCATTTACTATTTTCGGATTTAGACAATGATAAACAATTAAAAGTGTAAAAAATATAAAAATTAATCATATATATGTATATATAATTCTTTGATTTACGCAGAGATTTGATAGAAATATCAGCTCGCATATTATTAAGATGACCATCCGTATCTATTTTATCGGGATAGGTAGTTCCGATGTTTTTATTCCCCGTCCCGATTATTATTTTTCCGGTGTTGATCCATTTTTAACTCGATATGTTCCAAATTGAAAAAAAAATGCAGTTAAACGTGGAAACTATCTCTAAAAAAAAATATTAATGACAAAGTCAAACTGCGACGAAAATTGTGTTAAGACGTTTAATACTTGTCGACACAAAAAAAGAAAAGAACAATTCAAAACTTTGAAAAGTTCTCAAAATGAAGTTGATATTATGTGTAAGTTGTATATAAACTCTTTGTATCTTTGCCTACGTGCGATAACAAAATAGAAATATAATAGCTCTAATTTTTCTGAGTCTAAATGTCTTTGTCTCTTTTTTTTTTTTTTTGCTTGTTAAAAGTAGAGCGAAAATTGGCGACAAAAACTATGGTCATCTTAATATTATATATCACATATTTGTCTCTTTTCCACAATATTTTCATTAAGACTTCGTACGCGATATATAGGTATCTGCGCAACAATAGTTTTGCTGCTTACATTGCTTACATGTTAGCGTACGTGAGCGCACAAACTTTAGAGACTTATAATTCAAAGCTTATTAATGCTCTTCTCTGTGAACCTTGACATTAAAATTTTTTTCTCAATAATCTCAGGAAATTTTAATTATGCGTTGCAATTCTACTTACATGAAGCTTTTGTATCATATCTCGCATGTACCAACAAAAAAACTTACATACATAACGCATAAGTATATTAAAAAAAAACAAACTCGCGTTTACATTACGAAAAGTAAATGAAAGAAAACATGAGCCGTAAAATATAAAAGTATAACCAAAGAAAACACGCGTGTGTGTATTTATATAAAATTATAGAGCCCAAAAAACGATTATTATTTAACTAGTGTGACTATAAAATTAACTATAAAAAGTGTATGCATATAAATGCACGATACGAATGCATTGTGAGACATTTATCAGGCATTGCACGGTAATTATTGTAAAATTAGTCCTCCTGGTGATTAAATTCCTGCAACAATACGTGTAAGCTACATGTAACCTTTTTTTCTTCCATGAATAATAAGTGATTGCAAAAAAAAAAAAAAAAATATGAAATAAATTTCAAATACAGTAGTGACCGCTTATATTGTTTTTTTGTTTGGTTTTTTTAGAGTTTATTTCTAGACAGGGAATAAATTTCCTAACATGTGTGCGATTCACTTCACACTCACGGACATACAAAATAAGTCTCTATATGTAATGATATTACATAAGTAATTTTTTTCCCAAGACCATCATTTTATTTAAAAAATATCAATTTTATATATAATGAATTGATATGTATTAATCTATATAAAATAAATCTAATTTACACACAAATAATATGACAAATTGCGATTGTAAGCGATTTAAGTGTATTTTATTTCTTTACCTTTAGTAAAGTAGTAAATCCGATTGTCGTTAGCACTCCAAGACCGAATATAAGTGTGTAGATAAAATATTTGTTACGGAATAGACCAAGTATAGGTCGTTTTCTGACCAATAATTTAATCATCTTCAACTTGGCATCAGAGTAAGGTGGGAAACGGTTTCTGAAAAATTGAAATTACAAAACACCAGTAGTACCAAAATACATACACACACACACATATATATAATTTTAAAAGTTAAAAAACCAGATGTTTACACTTACTTGCTAAGCATTTCTGCGATTTTATTGTAATCACGTATTAAAACACTTTTCTCGTGTACAAATGTATCGAATGTGTATTTTCCATGGTAAGCTCCCATACCAGAATATCCAACTCCTCCAAAGGGTAGACTATCAACTACAAACATATTACGCAATAAAAGTTTGTGAACTAATTTTAATATTAACTTAATTGCGCAGACATATATATTTATATTTTTTTACATCTATTAGTTTATATTATTTTACATCTCTAGTTAGTTCTTTGTATATTATTTAAGTACAAATAAAAACTATAAACTATATTACACAACTTTATTAAATACAAACTTAAATTAAGAAATAGGATTTTACAATCATACGTTGGAGGTACGTGCAAAATATATGTTTTTAACATATATATTTTAAGTATGTAAATTAATACACGTAGAAAATTCGAATTAAATAACAATTCTAAAATTCATATAGGATGCTACTTTGCATCATACACACACACACACACACACACACAAATTATCCATTTAATCCTTCAATGAAATTTAAAAAATCTTAATGCACACAGAAAACGAAAGATGCGGATTTAACTCTTGACTAAGGTGTCTTTTTTGCATTGAGATTTTTTAAATTTTATTAGAAGGTTTAAATGGGTAACAATACAAGTAAGTATGTAATACAAAATAGCATTCTAGCATAAATTTTAGAATTCACTATTACAGTTATTAATAATATTGTTATTCAATTTGAATTTCCTATGTGTGTTAAGTCACATGTTAAAAATATATTTTGCACATACATCGTATGGTAAAATCTTGATAACTAAAATCTATATATATTTTCTAGTTTATAGTTCCTATTTCTAGCTATAAAGAAACTCTAATATTCTTTGTTATTATGTTACTTAACTGTTGTAACTTAACTTTGTTATTATGTTACTTAATTGACGGTAAAGAGTGTATTAATTTCTTTACACACACATACACAAATTGCCTCTTAGCGTTTTTACCATCATTTTCTCACTGTTTTTGCACGAGAAAAAACAAACACAAAGTTAAAAGACTCCAGTAAGCATTCCACGCAGTTAATGTTTAAAAAAGCGGGAGCATATTTTTTAAACATAGCAGAAGTGATTAAAAAGTGTTTTGTATAACTTATTATCCATAAACCATTAAGAAAATACCTGCTAGATGCATTATTGTATCATTCACAAGAACACCGCCGCTAGATGTATTATCAAGAATCACCGATATAGCTTCTTTGTTCAGACTAAATATATACAATGATAACGGCTTCTCCCTGCATGTTAAATAATTAACGTAAGAATCATCCGTTTCTTCAATCTTTTTATGAGGTATGTATGTCTGTTGCAATGTATGTACATGGTTTTATTGCGAATTTTATATGAGTATTTACATATTAAAATGTACACATCATATCTGTGAAATACATGTGTATCTTGTGTCTGTCATCAAATATATATATCAAGTATTTAAATTGTTATGTTTCATAAAATTCAATAAAGTTGATACTACATATGTACATATTTACTGTATTGTGTATTAGTAGCAATTATAATAAACAAGTAGGATTGTCTATAGATAGCTTTTCAGAATCACTGATACACTGATTGCGTATCAGTAAGAACTATTACATACATATTACATACATCTAACTATCACCACTTTTAAATGTATTAAATATAATGTATAGTATAGAATACAGTAGAACTTCAGTAATTTCGAGCGCATAGTAACGATTCTTCTTAGAATTTGAAAAGATTTTTTCCCCTTCTAGTTGGCGATCGATTAGTAACAAAAAAAATATATTTCTCATTCTTGTAAACTCCTAGAGATAGACGCACGTTCTACGATTAGCGCAGTCACTCGGAAATTGGGAAAAAATCACTAATAAGAGAATCTATTAGCTCGCCCCTAAAGGAGAAGTCGAAATTGTGACGCTCGAAATTACCAGAGTTCTATTGTAGTGAGGTTTCTTTTTTGTTTTACAATTTGCGCATAATAAAATGTGATAAAGTGGTCTGATGTATGATTTTATATATATATATATATATGTACATAACCTGGAAAAATAATAGATAATAGAAATCATATATACATATTTACATGATGTAGAAATCTATCTTACGTCATGGAAAAGAGATGTTACATATAGATACAGCTCCTTTCAATCGTCTAAAGCAAGAAACCAACAGACAATAATAAACATGCAATATATTTACAGTTATTACTTTATTTACATAAAAAGATCTGCTTGTTTTGTGTAAATTTTAATTAATCATGAAGTATTTTCTTTTAAGAGCAACATTGAAACACGCTTTTCAATATTTTTTTCCAATATATAAAAAAAATTCTTATTTATTCAGTAATATTTACATATATACGTATATAAACATATATGGAATATATACATGTGTAATATATGTACACATATATATATATATATTACTGAATAAAAATACGTTAAAAATTATAAGAAAACAAAAAACATTCGGAAGAACTTACAGAAAAGCTAATGTCCAAAAAAAATAATTTTCTAGAAAACTGTGATAAAAGAAATGAATCTTTTCAAACACCAAGAGGTTTTTACAGACATATTGGATAAGTGCAACAGTTGTAATGAATTTCGTGATAGTAAAACAGAGGAAAAGATTTCTTCGTTCTATCAAGTACAGCAAAAAATAACAGAAATCAATAGGGATCACTTGATAGAATGAATAAATCGTTTTTAATAAATAATTATTTAATTCGTTTTTCTATCCCGCGAAATTCATCAAAACTGTTCCACTTACCCAATATTTAAGTAAGAGATAATTGAAGAAAGCCCCGACACCTATCTTTCTTTAAAATAAATTCTCGTTAGAATAAAGGTATTTTGGTGTCTTCCTACAATCGGAACTCACCGCTATATTGCAATATCGTGTCGTTGATACACGTTGATCCACAGCGGATCTGGAGAAATAATTCTTGCACCTTCTTGTTCTCGGAAAATATGTATAGTACGAGTGGACTTTCACTACGTGTGAAAAACTAATTATTTCATGCATGTTTTTTTTCAATCAAAAATTATAAAGATATAAGACATGAAACAATAGATAAGAACATATTTCCCATGCATAATTTTCTATTGCATCGTTTAATGTGGAACATACAATTTCATTCGTCTGAGATAATGAAAGAGTTAATGTTCGATGAATGACAACTATTATATAAAAATCAAATCTGATTAGAAGAAAACATATCTAAACTAGAATAAAAAAAGAAATCTATTTTGAATCTTTCTAACAAGTTGCACAATGGTTGAAAAATTATCATTTGATTTAATCAGATTTTTGAAACTGTAATAGATTTTGAGAAATAGTTATATAACAAGTGATGACGTCTCGTTGTGCAACTTGTTGATTTTTTCCGAATCACGTCAATCATTTTCACACCATTTTTTAAAACTATTTCATCCGCGAACCATAACAAATATAACCACGTAATCCTGATGAGCTGTCAAAGTTGCAACACAAACAGCCAATAGAAAATTAATCAGCGCCGCGGAAAAGCGGCAACAATAAACATCGAGATAAATCGAAAGAATCAACGATGAATTCTTAAGCGCCTTTGTTGTAAGAAGAAAACAAATTAAAAAATAACAATAAAAAATAACATACCGGCTGTTGATGAATTCGATTGCTTCGTAAGCATTATTAACAGTTACTAGAGGCAGTATTGGTCCAAATATTTCTTCTTGCATGACGGGATCTGTCGGTTTGATATCAAGCAATATTGTGGGAGAAATAAACTTTTCCGTAGGATTGGTAATGCCACCGATCGCTATCTTGCCATTATTGCCATTCAAAAAAGTAACAAGTCGCCTACGAGCAGAAAACGATTGTTTCATTTAACTTGTCAAATTCTTTCTCTTTCTCTCTCTCTCTCTCTCTCTCACTCTCACTCTCTCGTGTGTGTGTGTGATAACAATTAAAAAAAGTAATTAAATTATTGTTGGCGTTACAGCAATTATTAAAAACTGTTTTTGTGTAGAAAACTTACTGATAATGCTTTTCCGTTACTATGCGAACGAAATCGGGACTTTCTTGTAAATTTTCGCCGTACCACTCCTTCAGAATCTTTTCAGCTTCCTGAACAAATTTGTTTTGCACTTCACGCGTGCACAAAACGTAATCGGGTGCGATGCAAGTTTGACCGGCATTGAGACATTTGCCCCAAAGAATGCGTTTTGCTGCCAGTGTCATATCTACTGTGTTGTCTAAATATACCGGGCTGCAAATTTATATTGCTTAGAAATCTTAAAATAGATAGTATACAGAATTCTACATTTAAAGAAATTTTCAAAATACAAATTTAAAATACCAAAATTGCACTTTGTATATTTCTAAATTAATTTTTGTCGATTTTTAAAAATATATAAAAATAAAAATAAACATTATATTTAATATTATTAAATTATATTTTGTATTATATTAAAAATATATTATATTTTTAATATTAAATATATTATATTTTTAATATTACCTCTTACCACCCAGCTCTAGTGTAACAGGTGTAAGATATTTATTGGAAGCTTCTCGTATAATTTTTCCAACTCCTGTAGATCCAGTGTAAAAAATATAATCGAATCTTTCCTTGAGTAGCTCTGTTGTTTGCGAAACTCCTCCCACTACGACGCGGACACATTCCTGTGTTATAAAACACAAGAGAATTAAGACCAATCGTTTTGATAATGTATGTGTATGTATCCACATACCGTGTCCAAATATTTCGGAATAGTGTCGGCCAAATATTTCATTGTAGCCGGTGCTATCTCCGATGGCTTCAAAATTGCGCAATTTCCACCTGCAATAGCGCCTATAAGTGGTACTATGGTCAATTGAAGAGGATAATTCCATGTACCAATGATAAGAACAACTCCGTAGGGATCCTTATAAATTTTCACCGAGTCGAAAAAGTTTGCCAATTCCTTATGTGGCTAAAAAATATCGTATTTAACTTTTTTATAGTTCTCGTGAATAAATACATAAATTCTATTCAGAAATTTATGTATTTATTCACGAAGAACGAAATGATTATCTTCTTATAAATATTGAAATTAGTTACATCCAAATGACATATTTACCTCTAGTGGCGCTGCCCACTGTTTAATATTGTCGAGCATATTGTCTATTTCGTTAATTGCAAAATCAATTTCGGTTGCGTACGCTTCAAATTTGGACTGTAAACAATTGTAAAAATTATTAATAAATACAACTCGTACTCATTGCATTACGTGTACATATAACTCAAATATTTATCTTATATAAATGATTTATACTTTGCGTAAATCTGACGCCAGCGCTATCGTGATTTCCGTGGCGGTCTCGTTTATCATGCGTTTTAGTTGCTTCAATTGTGTAATTCTCCATTCTAGTGATCTTGTTTTCCCAGTATTAAATGCATCCCGCAACTGTTGAACTACCTGTAATAATTTATACAAGTAACATGTTACATTAGTATATTATTTATTTTCTCTCTCTAAATTGGAATAAACTTTGATCGCTTTAAATAGCTTGTAAAAACAAAACAATGAATTGCCTTATTCAATTACTTACGTCTGCATAATTTATAAGAGCTGGTTTGCCATTTGCTTGCGCTGAAACAGATAGCGTACAGATACAATTATCTATAAAAATTATCTATAAAAACAGTGAATAAATATTCCACTTTTCACGACATATAAAATAGTTTTATAACGTATAACTAACATTCCTCTTTTTTAACATAAAAAATATTGAAATGTATGTTACGTAAGTTAAACATAATTATTATAACTTAATTATTAAACAATAATTAGAGACATACTTAATTACTAAACGTAATTATTATAATTTAAAATCTCAGGCCTCAACATCTTCATTACTCGCGAGCTACTGCTCTGACATTTTTCACGGAATATCGACGAATAAAACTGACATATACCGTGCTTAAAAACTATCAGAATATATTACACACTCGAATATATTAAGTCTTTATTTAATTGTAATATTAAATACTGACAATATCACTTTCTAAATAATATTGTAAGTTTTCTATTTCATAATTTATTTTATTTTTTCGCTGTAAGTGGTAACTCAACAATAATTCAAACTGTCAACAAAACAACCATATGTTTAAAGCAGCGATTTTTAATCTTTTTTTTTCTTGTTTGAACGTAAATGTGTAATAACTCAAATATGCTAGTTTTGACAACAAATAAATATATTTTTTATCGCATGACATCATCCTCACGAGTTATTCAGAATGGAGTGCGTACTTGTTGAACGGTTTTTTTTTTTCGTTTTCAACAGACTTTGTTTTAACAAACAAGACTAATTAACATTATCGAAAAATTTTGCGAGCAGATCTTTCCAGAGTCATAGTAGTTTAATCGCTATTAAGTTTTCTTGAGATCTGCTTGGTTTCTGCTGCCAATTTGCTGCCAAATCCACGTTTGACAGATCTGCTACAGTTTTGATGTCACTGTCAATCATTTCACAGAGTCTCGACAGCTATCGAGATCGTTTCGTCATATAACTTTGTTTTTTTTTTTAATTTCAATTACGAACACATGCAAATACTGTTTTTCTTAAGACTGTTTAATTATGTATATTAGAAAAAATTTTCATACAGTAATTATCCGCGGAACTATTTGCATTTTAAGTTAGAAAAGCACAATCGATACATATCTTAACGAGAAAAAACGACTTAATCTTCTCACATCACATTAACGTCTTAGTATTACAAAACTAGCAGTTTTTTTTATCTTTCACTCTCTCTCTCTGATACATGAATGTGTGAATATCTTTATTTGTAAATAACACAATGTGCGAATAAACAAGACCAACTGCTAGACATTTATAAGCACGAAAGATTCAATGTCATAGAGTGTAATTCGAAATTGATTTTCTTACATAAAGCCAATAGCCTTCGAGTTATCATCAAAAAACCAGATCAGAACAAATACACTCGACGCTATTTTCCAAGTTGCTCGGATTCTAGCAGACGAGTCATCTAAGCACAAGTCGGATTACACGTAATATTAGCAATTTTACATGTTTCTACTGCGCAGTTTCTAAGCGTAATAACAACATTCGTATTATACATGACGCAAACTTAGAGTGACTATGCAATTTTACATTGTTTACTACTAGCAAGTAAAGTAACTCTAAGTAAAGAAAATCAGTTTCAGATCGTCATTCCGTATGCGGAAGTGGACTTTAATTCCGATAGACATCTATTTCTAGATTGTGAGGAAAATCATTGCGTGCTTCCTAGATTGCGTATACCGCAAACTCTTCTGAGCCTCAAACGAACGTTTTAATAACCGATTGCAACGTGAAATATGAGAATTTTATGTTCTAACGCCAATGAGTCTATTGAAAATCTGTGAAACACGAAATGTAATGTTTTTATCGACAAAGAATCGTTTAAACTTCCGATTAAAAAACAAAATTTAAAAAATATCAATTGTTCGCGGAAATATTCGATTATATAAGTCGCGTGGGTCTCACAGACCCAACCTGTCTAACTAGCTGTCATTTTTGATGTGGTCTGTCCACAAAGGATTAAGATATTGATTAATTAATATGTAAATTAATAAGTAATACCGATCTTCAGTTGTAAAAAATAACTTGATTACACAATACTTGTATAGTTGTAAAGAATACTTGTTTACTTTGTACATCTAGCAACGAGAGACGGAAAATAACGCATCAGCGTCCAGCGTGGCGCAACAATTTTACTGATCAACTGATTTTCATATTAATTAACGTCTTAATAATTATAGAGCTGCGAAGTTTGCGAAAACTGAATACGACTTCTCTGTTAAGATTGATTTCTACCTTCAGTTAAAAAGTTTCAGACATCCTGTACGTTTGTTCTTGTAATACGTAATAGCGACAAGCAGACCATACGCTCCAATCAGTTTATTAAAAAACCTCTCTTTCGGATTAATTACATAATAGATAAAGATACTCATTCTAAATATTCATAGCAGTCGTTGGTAATCAGAAGTAAGACGTCATAAAGTTTTTATCACGTAATTTGTCATATTAAAAATTAATCATTTTGTTGTACAAGAAGCCACCGATATTCAAGAGCAAACAAATTGTTAAAAGTCGTCGAAAACTTTTTTCTTTTTTTTGTACCAAAAATAAATGTGCGTATAATTTAAAATCTACAGAGTAATTTTTAGCAAAAAAAAAGAAAAAAAATTACATAGATTTTACTTTTCTATTATTTATTCATTTTATTATCGTAACATTTATATTATTTATTCATTAAGGTCGAAGATAAAGTTTCTAGCGGAGTTTTTTAAACGGGACCGATATACAAAATATATCGACGTTAAAATACATTGATGTGTTAAAATGTAAATAGCATAATAAAAATTTACATATTTGTGCCGTTCAAGACTAGAATCATATAACAATTTCCATATAGATGTACATATCTCTAATCAAATTAATCTAGTCGAATAATTCTGTACATACTTGTCGATAACTACCAGTTCGTATTTTTTTCTTTTGCGCAGATATTTTATTATACACTATGATAATACGAATTTCGACATGTGATCTAGCGCAAGTATTTCATGATGATATGAAATGTGAAAATTCGGCACGTAACTTTGTGCAAATATTTAATGACGATACGAAATTTGGCACATCTCTTTACGGATATTTTGAGACAAAAAACAATATCTCTATATGATATGAATATGTTTTTGAAGATCTGAAAATGAACTTGAGAGATTTAAGAGAGAGACGATCTTAGATATAACTATCTGTGTTGTGAATGCCTATCGTAATCGAAGAAGTGATAAAACAACTGACCTTTGTATTTATTCTTTGGTTTTTGACTTATAATCGAGCGACTCGCAAAAAAATAAACACACATCACAACATTGTTTTCAAATTATACATTAATTTAATGTTTAACATTTAACAGTCTGAAATAACAAATTAAGAGAAGCTCATAAGTAATCGTTCGTAGACGGACTTAAAAAATGATAATTAGCTTGGATCCAGACAAAAACTGAATCTATAAGACTCACGCGACTTTAAAATTGACTTTAAAATGCCCGCTATAAATAAATGTTTTTTCAGTTTTTTTAATTGAAAATTTAAATAATTCTGCGTCGATAAAAAAATAAATTAAAAAGATCTCTATTAGTTTCGAAAATATAAGCGTTTAAAAAAACTAATTTTTGCTGGAAATGCGCAATTTTTGAGTGGGTCTGGGAGACCCTCTGTCCGCGAAAAGTGAATGTAAAAAAACAAGTGACGAAAAGTGCGTAGAAACGAAACTTTTCGTGAAATAACTCAGATTTTTCTTTCATGTGCGAAACATGTTGTGTAAAACAGATCCATAGTATAAGCACATGCAAATATTTCGAGTTCAACGTTTTTGCTTTGTTTCCCGGTCATGCAAACAAAACCAAAATCACAAATTGAAAGTTTATTACTCTCAAAAATGTAGTCTATTGAATGTAAATAATGATGATACGAAACGCGATGACGCGAAATTCGGCACATCCTAACGCGAAACTATTGTTGAGCGCCGCGACTTGTTTAGGTGACAAGTGCCGTAGGGTCGATGATCCACGTGGCATTTTCAGCGTGTTAATGATAAACAAAATAAAATACTAAATTCGGTCCTTTATGAATATTTCATTTGGGACAAGAAATCTGTACGTGACGTGAAATATCGGAAGTTCACAATCGGTTAATTGTTATAAGATAAATGACACAGCCACAATAGCATGTAAAAAAAAAAAAAAAAACAATATCGGTGACATTGCGAATTTACAAAAGTCTCACCCATAGTTCTCCGGTTGTCTCAAGCCAACCAAGTTGACGGGAAACGACAATGTAACGAAAGTCTCTGCGTGATGGCCGAATAACGTGTGAAATGTACGAGTTCCTTTGTAGCGTGCATATGAAGACCTGAACACGTTAATCTTTAGTCACTCCGTCATTCCGAAAAAGTAGTAGGGAATACAAGGTAAAGCGGCCGCCACAGCGGAAGAAGTGGTATAACTAATGAGAGTATCACGTATATCACACAACAATGAACTTTATTCTGCTGATAATTTGATGCGCATATATTAGATTTTACGGCCACTAACTATTACGCGTCAAATAAAATAGAAGAGCCAGCTTCACAATCAGCTGTGAAGTGTCAGCATCCTTTGGAACTGCCGCTAGAGATCGCTACCTGTTATATACATGTCGATTGCTGGAACGTTGCAGGAACGTACGCATTTCGGGTGTGTTTTCGACCGAACAACAACTCCGATCAAATTCTGATTCAATTCCAAGATTAAAAAATTAACGGATTAAAAATTGAGATTGAATTAGGATTTATATATTAAGATTTTATATTAATCAATACGATCGAGTTTTACTAAATTTGAAATCGGTTGTTTTCTTCTGATTAGTAAAGAGTTTAAATTAGAGTCAATATAAACAGCCTTTGTAAACGGTCAATTCATTGTTATTTGCGTTATATTTGAGTTCCAATTTTTAGTTGTTTTTTTCTTTATTCGATTTTAATGGTTGACAAACCCAAATTAAATTTGTTCATCTTGTGCTAACGTGCAGATATATATTTTATTATAACCTGATAAGATGTAATTTAATTTGTTTTTTTATAATTGCGGAATTATTTTTTTAAACCAAAGTCTGTTGATAAATAATGTTTATAATTGTGAACTCTTTTATTTAAAAAATCTCTATTCAGTTATTCACTGAAAAAAGATTTGATCCAAAGGACCAAAACGTCTCTGATCGGATTATTATTAAATCATCTTTAAATATCCAGTATATATTGTTGCTCGTATTAGCTCTTTTTATCTATTATTGACATTTTCACGAGTGATTTCAACTATTGACCTCAATATACCATATAATACCAATTGATATCAAATATTCATTTTGTGTGTGTGTGTGTGTGTGTTATTGAGAAAAACCTACATTAAAACGATAACTGTACATACAAGATGTCTGCGACTTTTTAACATAGCCGAACTGCGAAGACAAAATGAGTCAATCTGAACAGAAGAGTCGTGTACAATTTTGCAAAATTCGCAATAGTTATTGAGATATTAATTAGTTAATGAAGCATTGGTTAACATGAGAGCGTGAGAAGTGACGAGGGCTCGACTCTTGCGCGTTCCGTTATTCACCGTCATATAGTTCACGCGACATATATTGTAGATTTTCAATACAATAAATTTCGGATCGCAGATCCTGTAGTCGTATGTAAAATTACGTGATTTTCAAAAAAAATCAATATCAACTGATAGCGAGAAACTTACACGTAATCAAATCAATATTTAACTGTATTAATTTGAACTATGATAGATTAATTGATAATGATCACCGGTGTACGTGAGTAAAGATATCGACAATAAGAAAATTGTAACTAACAAATTATTTCGAACGTTTCGATCAATATTTTATTTTAACGATTTTCAGTGACAATGAGTAGCTAGGAGGTGGGAGGTTGGCTGAGTAAAATAAAATATTAATCAAAACGTTCACAAAAATAAAATAATTCGTTGCAATTTTCTTATCGTTGAAACTTTTGTCTACGTTCATCGGGCAGAAAAATCAAGTTCAATTGATCCATCGTAATTAATTATTAAAATCATCCGTGCCAAAATATATAGATGTTCAAAATGTTTCTTCAATAAAAACAAACGGCTAAATAAATATGTACACAAATATAATATGGTAATAACACAATTTCGAAATTTATTATTTGAGAAAGTATTATTTCAGAAATATAGAAACGAATAACACATTTTGAAATTTATTATTCTCCTTTTATTTCTATTGTAACTATTGTGCATCTAATGTAATGATAATTAATATAACATTTGTGTTTTCCGATTCCGTGCCGTTATAAATTGGCCATTAAAACTCGAACGATACGTTATATCGTACGACATATTCTATTTTTATATATGTGTGCATGTAATTAATTACATTCAGAAAACGCAAATACAGTCCCTACGGAACGTAGTTCAAAGTTGTTTTTTTACGGAGCTGTGCGTAGTTGCCAAACAAGTTCTGCGTCGAGAAATAACGACGCGATTCGTGGCGTCGTATATGCTGCGCGCGTTAAAAGTTCGGCGGTTACATTATTTTCGAAGATAAATTCCCGGTGTTTTTTCCAACAAGAAAAGACAAAAAGCATTGATTCATATATGTGATTCATCTGTTCGAATCGGATGTGACATGATATATTATAACTAGTTTCGGCCAAGTTTTCACAGTATCCAAACTTGTGATGCAAACTTCGTATATGATACATACGAGTATGCGGCTTCGCATCGAGTTCATTGCCTCTATTTACGAGCGACTTCGAGCGACAAAAACCAAGTTTGAATCACGCTCCGTGAACTCACACTCGAATATAAAAATTGTTTCTAAATAATAATATGGAAAACATCGCCATACCGTTGTAACGAGGATTTTGCATTGGTTGCACGTGTACTTGTATACCGTTTACATTAGACATTTTCACAGGTGTGCTCGACATCTTTCTCTTTCTCTTGTAACGATGATATCTCTCTAGTACTTTTGAATAATTTTGTACACGAATGTAAAATACAGTCAAAAGTGTAATTGCACACGCGATAAATGATTAATCCAATTGCGTGACGATCCACGATCAAGTAAATTTTTTCGAAAACGATTTTGAATATTTCACTGCTTTTTATAAAAGAAGCTAATTATATATATATATATAAAAACTAGTGCAAATTTAAAGCAACGACAATACTCTTGCCCTTTAAGTCGCACTGGCGTTCTCTCGAGTCTGAATTCGATGTGAGACTGAATGGTGCATCCAATCTAAAGCAAAGTTACCGCGTGAAGTACGTACTTATATGGATGGCAGGGATAATTTAAGTCAGTGTCTCTCAAATTTACCACTCTCTAATATGAAGCTTCGGATTGTACTTTTCGCAAACCGATTTTACGTGTAATCGTTTCGAATTTTAATTTTCCACATCGTTATCCGGGAGTTTTGCATCTTGTGAACAAACTCTTCTTCTCAAATTTCAATACTTCTTGTAATTTACCGTAATGATGTTGAATTTTACCGTATATGTATCATATCATCATTTGTGAGAGCCCCTTAAATTCCTGCTTGAAACTTTGAATCGATAAACAGTTTGATCTTAAAGTTTGATCTTAAAAGTGAAAGCTATAATAAGGTCGAATTTGCCATTTGTATAAAATATTACTCATCAGTTGCCGCCTGTCGGGTACACGTCACGCATACCTTGTTATTTTTTTTTAAATAACAAGTTTCTTATTTATCTATCTCGCAGACTAGTTTACCTTTTTCTTCAAGGAACATATTTATATGTTGACCTTGGCAAAAAAATTTTGATTGCCTCGGTATAAATATCAAGGTATCAAATGCTACAAATAGTTACTACTAAATGCTGTATAGATAGCTAAGAAATTTTTATATTTTAAGGTTGAAAAGAATAAAAAAAACTAATGTTTCTTAATCAGTATATCAAACAATATACTTACATGATTCAGAATGATTTATAACAGCTGTCTCTAAATCGATACGACAAACATCGGATTCGTCCGCCATGTCATCGGACGGAATATCTAATTTTACTTCACACTAAAAATAAAACACACATTAAGATACCATTAAAAACATAAAAGAGTCATTAAAAAATTTTTTTAAATTACATAACATTTAATTATCTAAGTAAAGCTCGTGAAGAAAATATATAGATATTGTTATATATAGATATTGTTTATAAATATTAATTTATTAATATTAAAATTTAGAAAAATTATAGCGGGAGTAATTAGTTTTGCACATTGTGTATGTGTGTGATGTGCTTTAAAACTTATTCAATCGTCTTACAATTATTTATATTGATATACAGTATCGTCGCGTGAGGCTACTGCGTATTTTCTGATGAGAGTTACTGTTAATACTGCAAACGTGTTCTTCAATGTAAGAACATACTCGCGTATCCTTATTCTACTGCAAACGAAGTAGAAAGTGGAAAATCGAGATCTGCAAGTTTCTTTATTGCGTGCTATTTCACTTCCTTATTGAGAGTGTAAGTTCGCAATGATTTCCTATATGCCACATGTATATTTGTTATGTATATTTCATAAAATAATATATATATATATATATTTCATAACATTTCTATTTAACTTTTCTCTCTCTCTCTCTCTCTCTCTCTTTCTCTCTCTCTCTCGTAGGACAGAAATTTTTATTAGAAATGTGATAATAAAGTCCAACAAATTAAAATTTTTAATTATGCCTGTGAATATTTATTAGGATGTATAATTTTAAAACATATACAATAATATTAAATTATGTATCTATTTTTTTATTATATTGAATTTATATGAGGATTTATGAAAATTATCTCACTCTCATTGTCAATTCTATAGAGATCTACGTTTACAGATATGTATTTACATTTCTATTTCTCTTATTTTTTCAACATTCGAGTCTTTAATAAAACAACTTAAAAAAAAATTATCTTTTGAATTGTTTGTAAAACAAGTTAAGTTTTACAAAAATTTTAATACCTGATGTGATCAAAAGAATATTTATTTTGTCTATACATATATATATACATATATATGTATATTATTGGGGGCTGGGATTGAATGAGTTGATGAGACTTAGACTTTATTTAGTTATTTTTTTATACATTAAATTTTCAGTAAAAATGCTGAAATCTAGGTATGGGACGAGAAGATCCTATAGAATTTTATAAATTTTACTTTGTTTATTGAATTTACAAGAAATTTAAAATTTATTTGGTTGGGAGGACCTTTAAATTAATTAAACTTTAAATTTTTATTACATCATTGATTAGTGATTTTTATGATTGGTTATTTAAGAATTAATTACCTTAGGGATAACAGCGTAATACTTTTGGTTAATTCATATTAATAAAAGTGTTTGCGACCTCGATGTTGAATTAAAAATTTAAATTATAAGAAGACTATACATATATATGTATAAGAGCACTGTGTTCAATAATAGTTTTAATAATAATTTTAACTCACTTCCGGCATGTCAATGAGTTTTCTCATGATAATACACCAATCAAAAGATTAAGTAGATGTAACGTACCACGTTAATGGCTGAATTGTATGTTAAGAACGAATTTAAAATTTTTCGAATCTTATTTGTAATGTAAATATTTTGTCGATACAACCTTTGTTCGATTAATGATATTTAAAAATCTATGACATATGTATCAGACTTTCACAGTACTACCAGTAATAATACCAAACCAAAAAGACCAGAAAGAGAGAAACAGTGACCGCAAGTATCGTGTTTAATTATGGCTGCGATGTTTACTGCCAATACTGAAAATCCATAGTACGCGTATAAAGTGAATAATAGAGTTTTAGTTTTGGCAGTGAATATACATCGGAATGCATTCTGCATCTACGCAAACATTAACAAGCCAAACAAGATTTGTTATTACAGAGAGAAACAGAAGAAAAAAACGGAAGTATGTATGTATATTACCAATTATGTATGTATATTACCAGTAATTTCAGTTTTACTGGAGTTTTTACTCGTCTCTGTTACCAGGAAATTATGCGCGGACAAACGTGTTTTATGTAATATTTTTATACACATACATAAATAATAATAATTTTTTTTTCAAACAGGATGCGTTACCGCGCAAATAAAAGTGATGCGCAATAGTCAATATACGCGGCGTTTTTCCATAAGTGCAAAACTGTTGATCGACTACATCGTTGTTTTTCGTTACACGCGTTGACATTCTGTCTGTGAAAGTAAAAGTTCCTGAAGGTAATCATGTCTATTTATACGTGTAATTCCAAAACCCAAAAAAATTTTAGAGGAAAGTTAATTAAAATCTTTATTTTTTTTTTTAACTGAAATTCTTAAAGCTCTAGAATTTTTTGTGATTACTTTTTAATACAGTAAAGTTAAGTGAAATACTTTCGATTTTTTTTTAAATGTAGGGTTTAAGACATTTATCATGTTCCGTATATATAGCGGAATTCTCTTTAACGTATCACATTTTTGTTATTTTACATGGGATTTTTCAGTAGTATCTATTATAACGTAAGTGGCACGTATAATATTTTACATGAGAATTAGTTTTTTGACTTTTAACTTAATTTTCCATAAAAATCTACACGGGATAACTTAATTTAAAGTTAAAAAGAAACGTAAGAGATACTACTTTAGCAGCTTTTTTGAAATAGCATTTGACGCAATCAGTCAACCGCGCGCGGATTTGTTCCGCGTGATATTTACAACAGAAAAATTATCAAATTTTCTGGCCAAGGAATTCTGTGACTTAAAATTTTCATAGTGCTTATGAATATTTGGTTTTTATATTTGATGACCGTAAACAACACTCACAAACAAACAAACAAAAATTTCATTAGATATTTATTAGATATATCGCACACAGCTGTTGACATCTAACGGACATCTAATAGTTTTTTTTTCTGTAAAAAAACAAGATAAAAAAACATGATTTTTTAAGTATCACTATGTAATAAACTGAAAATCCTGTATGTGACACTTATGAAATTATTGTAGGTACTGTCGATTAGACGTCCGTAATTTTATGTGTCGTCGAATGAATATCTAATGGCGGAAGTTCGTATTGGGAATGTTGTCTCGTAGTTAGTAAAGCTAGGAATGCGCATTGCCACAATCAATATTGCTTATTGAAAAAACCAACACTTACCATGTTTGGAATTTGTACCTCAGATATTTTCGACTCGATGACACTCCTTACATTGGTATGTGATCGCAGATTGAAGATAATTCAGCACAACGTAAAACTGTTGCGCGGGACATGTAATTTCGAAAATATTGTTTTTTAAAAATGTATTATTTGATATTTACAAAATTTATTAAAAGCTAAAATCTGACTGTATTTAAATACAATTTTCACAATCTTTTTTTGTTAAATGACTCGCGAGCAAGTCACACACTGAACTAACAATTGTTTGAAACTTCGACTTTGAATCGTAGTCATGAATACTTAATGTTGACCTTTCTCACATATTGTACAATCTGAAACCATAATTTTTATCATGATATGTCTAAATATAAACAATACAAATGGAAGACTTTTGGATGTAAAAAAATAGGATAAATGACATTTGACATATTTCGAAGACACATAACTTAAATTTTTAACAAAATATCTATTCAAAAAACAGAATATTACTACAATAAAAATTTTAATGTGCAAGAAGTTAACAAGTGTTTTGTTAATTCGTTTTTGTGCTTTTGTAAAAAGGAAAAATATCGAAGGAGGCCAGTGAACTCAAATAACATTACGATGTTGTATAACATTATAAATAATGCAATGTATAAGTAATGCAATGTTATAATGTTGCACTTAACAATGTAAGTGTGATAACACATGATGATATATAACAGTTACATTGTTGAGCAAGAAAATTGTGACATTGCTTATAATGTTGCTCGATAGAAATTTGCCGGATAGAAATCAAGCATGAAAATATTCTGCACATTCGAAACTTTCACTTCTATATTATAATTATATTTTTGTATGTAATTAGTTTTGTAATTTTATATTTTTAATTTTATATTTTCCATTTTTTTCGACATATATATGTAACTATTTCTATAAATTATATGTCTTACATGAAACAACTTGAAAAAAATCCTAATTAACAAGATCTCAGCGTAAAAAATACATTAAAACCTTACGTAAATTAATCAAGAAAACCTGTTCTTGATTGTGTATATATTTTACATTCTATCACTTATATATGTACGAGATTGTAAAATTACTGCATTTATATAAAAAAAGGATGAGATAATTTTTTTATGAGATATTTTTTTAGTCAATGGATAAGACACTTTCTGTATAAATGAATGACAAATATATACCAAACACTAGCTGATTTGTCTAGGTCACTTTTGTTAAAAGAATTATTACGATTTTTTGTAAAGGTTAATAGGACATTAATATAAATTGATCCACTTTTATTGTTCATATGCGGAAAAAAGATAGAACGATGCCTTACTTACTGTGTGTAACTCGGTTGGCGCTAAAAGCGGTTTTCACATCGAAAGAAGACAACACAATGTCACTTTCGAAATGTTGCGAACTACAGTTGCTACAGTGGCTAAGTTCCACTTGCCGTTCGCAACGGTCGTAGAATTATTTCATTCTTGTTTCTTATCGAGAGTTAAACAAAGATAGGTAACGCTTACGAGCGAACGGCAAGTGGGACTTAGGACTATTCTAAGAATACGTTCCGTTTCATGCATATGCGCACATGATCTATTACGTAGTATACGTGACGTGAACTATAGATAAATGCGCGCATATGCGGGAAGCGGAACGCGTCCATTGCAGAATAACCTGTATTCTACGTCATCGATTACATGATCAAATGAACGTATCACAAACGTGCGGTAAATGATAGTCGTTTCGTGCGCATACACATACAGTGTGTTTGAAAAATGTTAACTAAAAATTTTTAACCAAGCCAAAGTGTGAAGATAGATCGGGTCAATTTGAATCGAGTCATTTTGCAAAATTCGCAATAGTTATTGAGTTATTAATTAATACATATGATCCAATGAGAGCGTGTAGGAAGTGCGCGATGGTTCGGATTCTGCAAGCATGTATTTTCAGTTTGTAAAAATCAGCTGATCGCAAGATGCTGCGATCACACATCGCTTGCTTTGTTTCGTTCTGCTATTAACACGCTGAGTGCCACCGTGAGAATCATCGGTGATTGGCGATGTCAATCTTAATATAAAAATACATAATTCAAATAAATGACAATATTTCTAAAATTTTCAATACTATTATTGTTATTACAAAAATGTAAAAAAACTAATGCACTATAAAACATATAAAAATAGTTTTATTCAAAATTATTGTTCAAATTATTGTTATTACAAAAATGTAAAGAAACTAATGCACTATAAAACATATAAAAATAGTTTTATTCAAAATCGTACACGTTATACGCGTATGTTGCGATATGAAACTTTTCTCACTATCCGATATTTATAAACAGCGTTTATAAACGAGATGATAAAAACAAGTCGTTAAATTTAATGACTTGAAACACGATCTTTGTTTGACGGCATATTACTTTTAAAAGCTATTTAAAAAATTAAAAATAAAAAACAAAATGCAAAACTTAATGTAGCGTTAAAAAATATAACCGATATCATTACTAATAATAGTTGGACAAACTCAACAATCAAAGAATGAGAGAAATAAGAAACGATTGAGACACCTGACTTTCGTAAACAACAAGTGAAATATATGAGATTGAAAAAACGCACTACAGCGCGTCACCAAGAGTCACCGGTGACTCCCAGTACAATAAATGCATAACACGTGAGAATGTGGTTTATCTTATTTGTTGTAGATAATATTTTACAATTTTTGCAGCGCATAGTCAAAAAGTCATTCCGGCGCCGTGGGCAAGTCATGTAAAATTGGCGCGGCACTCGACGTGATAAGGTCTTATTGCACGTGAAAAAATTTTAGTCGTATTTGCAAAGTCGTAAGCAACTCAACCAATTAGACCACCAATATTACTTTATACCAGCTAAAATATTGGTCTGTGATTAGTTGATTCACTTACAGTCTCACGATTATGACTAAAATTTTGTCACGTGCAATGACCCTTAATATATATATATATATATATAAGCCATTTTTTTCACAATTGAACGTCATATACGTCTACAAAATCCAAAGACTGATTCAGCACGCATGTTCCTACTTTTTCGTGTGATAAAGATTGAAGTTGACAGAACGATGAGAGAGGCAAGACATCGGTAAATCTCTGTCCTTTTCCGCGCGCATATATGCACATTGTAGTTCGAGATTAATCGAGATATTTCGAGATTGACTTTTATGTCTCGACTCTCGAGTCTCCAAGTGCGGTTTCTTCGAATGCTGAAGAATTTTAAGACAACCAACATTAAAACGATAAATATGTACCTTCGGATGATCTAATTAACACAAATTATTCTGATTAGACGAACTTTTTCGCGCAATTGATTCCGATCAAAAATTTTCCATCTTTTTTTTTTTATTGTCGCAACAGTAGATCAACCAACAACCAAAAAATAAAAAATTATAATTATTTCGATTAAAATTGATTTCGAAAAATTACATAGCTACCTGGATATATTATCAACTCTAACATCAAGATACGTAGACAGAGTATATTTGTGACTTGAAAATACCTATGCGAAGAACAGCAGTAATGGCGTCTAATGTGTATACGTGTGTAGAGAGCATATTTTATACTTGTCCGCAATGCAATTAGCATGCTAAAACGCTAAGAATCTGTGTATCAAATTCTGTTTGATATTTAAACCATGTTACTCGGTAAAGAGGCTATATTGCCTTGTATTCAATTGCTTGATTTCGCCTGATAGCAGACGAAAAGTTCAGAGAATTTCTCTGTTTTGAAACACTTTGTCTGCTGAAGAGGAAATTATCTTTTTAACGGTAACGTGTTTGTTTGTTTCATCGTTATGTATGTATTGTATAGAATAACTTAACAGACTTTTAGATAGTTGACAAGGTTTGATGGATTTTCCTTGATTTATGAAGAAAAACACTTGTACACCCAGGTCCGACTCTAACCTATAAATGTCAATGGAGCAAACCTCGTCAGATAACACGGTTTCTAGCCAAAAGTCGTTGCCGTCTTCTCACGACTCCGGATGGAATGATCCACCAAAATGGGCATTGTCGTCACAGTACAATTCCCCTGGGACTTCCACCAAAAGAATCTTAAACAAACGCGTGGCGTTTCCACTGTCTTCCCAGACTGTCGCTTCTGAAAAATCCAGTCAGTCTCCTTCATCGCACATGATGCTGCCCACCTTGGAAACTTCTGCAACTCCAACAATAACTACAGCTCCCCACAAACCTCTCATGGCTCCTGATGATAAAGTCTCAACGACTAAGGTATCAGAGTCAGATTTTGACAAAAATCAAGCCTTGACAGAAGTTCTGGTGAATTTGGAATCAATGATGACAGAACGAAAGTTAGATAAGAATAAAGTCGAAGAGATACAGAGAAGATTAGACATTATGAAATCTGATTGGATTGAAAACAAGTTGAACAGCTTGGTGCAGAAAAGCATTTTAGATCTATCAAAAGGTAACTTACGTATCAATAACAGTTTTTTGCATCCCCATATGGTGACAGTCTAAAATATTACCTGTTACTTATTAATAGAATTGTTACATGTTTAGCATTGCTGCAGAAAGATGTCGAGCAAGCTGACAAGATTCACATCGCTCTCATGATGCAGCATGCGACAGTTTGCCGCGCTTGGATGCCAGCCGTCAGACATCTCATTTTTGAATTAAAAAACAATTGTGAAAGTTCCGACGTTCTGAAACAATCGCAGCCGTCTCTGTTACCAATTCAATAAAAAAAACAGGAAAACTTAAAAAAGAAAAACAAACTAGGGTTTGCACTGAATAAGCACATAGTATAAAAGGTGCAACGCAAAAACAAGGATATCCACTTATTTATTGCTTGTTGATATACATGCGCGGTAGCACGCGATATTTTTTATAAGTAATAAATAAATGTGCATATGTCTGTATGTGTGTATGTATGTGTGTGTGTGTGTGTGTATGTGTGAAACGTAAGATTGTACAACTAACAATTTATTACAAGGATCTTTTTATTACACAAATAAAGAATGAAGAGAATAAAGATTAGAGAGCTGTTGTACTCATAAAAGTTTTTTGTATTTTTTACGTTTTTTCTCTTATGTATATTCACAAAGGACAATTACATCTGTCTTACCACATATCTTTGTCTAAATGTATGTGTTCTTATATTGATAATAGTCATCAAGCTAAAATCATTTTATTACTTATGTGTATCATACTCACTACTGTAAACATATCTCAATCTTAAGTGGACGCGTCTCTTTCTCTCGTTCTCCCTCTCTCTCTCTCTCTCTCTTTATATATGCATCCTGAACGAAATTTATTATATTAACTTCAAAACACACTCCCATTGTTTTTCGCCCAAAATGAGTTTTTTTTTTTTTTTTATTCCATTGCTTTCTCTGTTTCCTACCTTCGCCGTTTTTTAATTGTGCCGCGGCTACTGCGTAGGACCTATCGATACACGCCAATGCTTTACAAGTTATGGCTCTTAGAAAACTTACAATTACAAATTACATGACCATATTTCTTTATAATCGTCAATATATTAAATTTTCTTTCACACACACTCTTTCTCTCTCCGCGTAAATAAATATTCATAAATACATGGGAAATGACGTGCGTGAAAGCTCTCTCGACTTTTATATCTTCGTTCGTTTTCTTTCACTCTATCACAACACTCGCACGCACGCATACACGCACTCTCTCTTTTTTTTTCTAATTTTCGACAAAGGAAGAACGTCACGTCAAATTTGCGAGAAAGCGCCGAGAGATGACAATCACGTTATCACGTCCCCGCCCAAATTTCGATTTTTAAAATTTTCTTTTCATAGCTTTTTTTTCTATCCAAAAATATATGTACACATATACGGTCGGTGTATACGTAACGCTACATCTTTACAACGCACATCGCATCTACGGACGAATTTCGAGAGATCGCTCGCAAAACGTCGGTTTTAACAAAAAATCCCGTTGACGCGCGCGTGAAAAAAAAAAAATTGCCGTTTCTCATCAAAATGATGCTAAAGATTGTATTGTGTAGACAAGATAAAAGAAAATTTTGATCGATTTAGGGATTTGCTGTCAAACCGACTTTAGCGCGAGCGACTCTCAGATCTTCGCGACATTCGAATAGACTCTCTTCTTCGCATACCATTTACACGCTTGTGATCGAAAGACGATGCACTTTTGTTTATTTTCTCGTCACAATTGACGTCATTACACAACGACAAAAAATTCGATTTCGCGAAACATATACATCGACTTATTCTGTCTTCGTTTTGCTCTGTGTTTTGTTGTTTCTTTATTACACATACACATACGAGCGCGCGCGCGCGTTTGCATTTATATATATAAACTATTTAAAAAATTTGTTTCCGCACTTCTCTCTTTCGTCTGTTCTTCTTCACTCGCTCACTCATCTTTTTTTTTCTGGATTTTCTCACAGGTCTTTTTTTTTTGTACAAAACAAAATGGCATCTTTTTGGCATTGGAAGAAAAAATACATTCCCTTTATTTCTTTCTTAATTCGCCGTCGCTCTCTATCTTTTGCAATTGTAACCGTCTTTGTTTTTTTTTCGCGCTGCTTAATTATAATCCCTTCTATTTTATAATCTCAGATTACTTTAGAGTTTCTCTTCTTCCTCCCTTTATACAGGTATCTATACGCAACAACGATTTGCCAGCGGCGTTCAAGGAACTGCGCAACTCCCGGAGGTGTGATTTTTTTTCTCTTTTGTCGGTTTTTTAATGAACAATCTTGTGCACAAACGCTCTATCTAAGATAAATGCTCAATTGCGCAATTTTAATTTGACAAATTTGTGCCTGCAAACGTATAATCACCATGCTGTGACCGAACCGCATCATTGCGTACCTGTACCTCAGACACGACAGACGTTTCTTATCTCATTCTCGTACATCTCTCTCTCTCTCTCTCTCTCTCTCTCTCTCTCTCTCTCTTTCGCTCGCTCGCTCTTTCTCTCACAACTACATTAATTGTTATTACAAACAGTTTCTTTTCTCCTAATTTATTTAATACTATTTTGGCATCGTCGCGAGCTGCAATTCCCACAAAAACGTGTTTTTTTTTGCTTTTTTTCTTTAGTAAAAAAATTTCCCGTAAGAACCAACGCTCTTTTAGTGTATACCTATATAGACAGATGGAAGTGAACGTTACAGTATATAATGGCATTTTCACGGTGCTATTACAATAGCTAAGTGTACAATAAAATTCTTCCGGAAGTCGATATGGAATTTTGATTTTCTTCCGCGCCCGGGTGTGCACGGCGCGACACAAAATGTGCGCCCACGGGTGTCGCATTTGAGAACTTCGTTTTTTTTTTTTTTTTATCGTTATCTTCTAAACCCGTCAATGGACGTGCGTGTGTACGTGTGTGTGTGTGTGAATTCTGACTCACAAAAAAACTACATAGTCGCGCGACGGAAGAGTTTTATTTAGGAATATTCGTTCTCCTGCCGCGACAAAACAAAATTGTCCCACAGCGGAATATGAATATTTGGCGCAAAGTTTTCGCGACACCCGTTAATTCCAAAAGCGAACGGACAGTGAACTCTGTACTAAAAACGGGCGCAAGAGCGAGACAGAAGACGCTCTTCTTCCCGTCTTTTTTTTTTCTATTGACGTAATCTATTCGCGTATCGAAAATATTGCCGTACAAAAATAATCGAATTTGTCTCTCGGTCACACTGAAACCGCGTGAGTCGACAAGTTTCAAAGATGAGGAAGTTGGCGGAAAAGTGCCCACACAATGTTAGCCGGTCGAACTTGTTTTTTGCTGACAAAAAAAAGACAGTGCAAAAGTATCTTTTTTTTTTTTTTTTACAATTGTGGTTGACGTCTAACGAGAAGCGTAGCAGCGTGAACATTTGTTTCGGTGTAGTATAGAGTTCACTTTTTTCAAATTCACGTTTTTTTTTCGCGTGAGTGATTATTATCTCGACTCTAATCGAAACTCCATACAGATACCGCAATTTTGTTTGTTTGTTTTTTTTTCTTTTTTTGTATTGTCGATTCTGCGGAATACGAAGAGAAGGAGCTTTTACTGTATATATCATACATGTTACATGTTAAAAAAGTTATCGGGCCAATAATAATCTACGTTGTACTCTCTCATTGCCATCTGAATGCTGCCTTATTTAGAAAACGGATCTCGGTGGATTAATAATACGCACGCGCGTATTATTTGTACGTGCGTGTACGTACGTTTAAAAAAAAAAAAAACACACACGTGTATACAGGTTTGTATGCGTGCGAAGCGAAAGAAACAAGTGTTTGAGAAACAGTATCCCATATTGTATCGTACTTGTACTCATTTCCATTTCACGTGAAGAAGAAGTAATGGCGAACCGAGCTCAGAAACAGAGATATTTTCCAAGAGATTTATATAAATTTGCTTTCTTTTTATAGAGGATTAGTACAAATTCGATGTGAAACTCATTGTGACTTCCCGTGCGTCGTTCGTTACGTAAGAACGAGAAAAGGTTTTGCGTTAAATATATTTTTTTCTTGCAAAATAAAATGAAACTCTCTCAACAGTGCGCAAATGTTCCAATTTTTACGCCTTTCCAAACTTTATTGTACAATACATCAATTATAAGAAATGATGTAATGGAGTTTCTTAAGTGAAAAGAGATTTTCTTCTGATCGAAATTTACGAGAAATTTTCGAACTACGCGATCGGAATATCGTAATGTATTGAAATTTTTGCGCGTTACGAAAAACATTGTTACGAAAAACAATGTTACAAAAAACATCGCGTGCGCGGGAAGTCGCAATAATCTCGATCGAAAGTCTAGCCGCCAGTGTGTGTGTGTGTGTGTGTGTGTGTGTGGTGTTTTTATGTTTGTGTCTGTGTTTGTGTTAAAAATATAATAATAGCACAACACGGTATCAAACTTAATTAATAAATAATACATTAAATTAGATTATATATTACTAGTTATTATTGGTTTTTAATATTACTATTACTATTATTATTATATCACTATTTCTATAATATGCCAGATACTAATGAATGACAATACATTAATCATTAATGACTGCTATAATATTCTAGGCGAGGGTTGGTCGCGTCTCTTGCATTTTCCTTTTTTTATCTCATTGAATTTGAATTCCTTTTCCTTTTTTTTTCATCACTATATATATATATAAATTTGCGAAATGCAAATGTAAAAGGAGAGGTAGAGTGGTAAACGCGAGCCAAAATTATAAAAGCGCTTAGATAATTCTCATTATGAGCTCTCTCTCTAAAATACAAATTTTTGCGCTTTGTTTACTTTTTTTTCTTAAACAAGACACAAATAACGTTTCGTAGACGAAAATAAATAAACGGACCTTCTCAACTACCGATTCCGCTTCTTGCCACTCGCAGTTCCTCGACCACTTTCTCTTAGTCGGCTTTCTACGACGGGGATAATAACGTATCGCTATTATTGCTGAGCGCACGACGACGGATTGATTTGAAAGTGAATTTCCGCGGACATTAATTTTATACCGTCTTGCACGGTGATCTTCGGCATTATAAGATTAAAACTCCTCGCGCTCGGTTGGTCACAAAAGAAAGTAGTTTTCGATTTACCTCCGTGCGGAATACATTTTTGTCACAATAAAAGGAGGCTTTCTCCGCGTTCAAGTCTCTCCTGAAGAAGACCGAGAAACTTGAAGAGGAAAACTGCGATTATCCTCGTTACATAGGAGCGCGGCAAATCCTCCTAATCCATCACTCTCCTTGAAAAAAAACAAAAAGGTCAAGTTCCGAACGACAGCATGAAAAAAATACAGAAAGCTCAGAAGTAGCGGAAGGAGGCGTGAAGACCGCAGTGTCAAGACCTTTAACAGGAATGTAGTTGTACGACGAATTTGATTTGAGGAGTGTGATGGGATGAAGGAGAACACAACACACCTCTCTGCGGCTTTCGTCTCTGACTTCGAGAAGACTTTCGGAAACTTCCGGGTTAGGGACGAAACCCCAAACAACGGACATATCAAATGCCAAAGTTACACACACATTTCTGATCAACAGGTCTGTTGTAATTTAAAGCGTTGCTTCTCCACACTGACCACATGCAGCAGAGGAAGCCCAACCGTGGTAAGCAATAAGAGTTGGTATCAATTTGAGAGATCCTCCGGAAGGCTCTTCGCGATGACAATTCGTTCAGTGGAAAGCCAATCGACCACGTACGATCACCAGAGGCATCGATTAGCTCTGGATCTCAAAAAAATGTGATTGGCAGAACCCTGATGCCTGGCCATATCAATATTAGAGCGCCGCTCGTAATAGGCTCAGACTATATATATATATATATATTATATACATATATATATATATATATATATATAAGACAATTAATATGTACAAATAAAAATCGAGGATAATAGAGAAGATAATAATGATAAAGCCACGCAGATCGAATCTTTCATTTCTGCTGATTCAATAATGACGCCGAATTTTCAGAGAATTTACATCGTTTTATGATTGACTTTCATCATTTTTTTTTTTTTTTAGTTAGTTTGGTTCTCTCGATGTTACATGCGCGAGAACGTCATTATATCCGTTTACTTTAGTATTAAAAAATACGGGAAAATATTAATTAACCCCTTGAACTCTGTGACCATCAATTTTTCGCAACCCCTATTTTGATGTAATAATTTTTTATTGAGGTATATTGAAAAATGAAAACAACAAGGCGATATAAAATTTGTACGTGTTACTCAGTCTGCCGATTCGCGAGTAATAAGGGTTAAAACCACGAGAAGGGGGGGGGGTGAGAACAAGCAGAAAAGAAAGAACGTGTAACCGATGATGAAAAACAACACCTGACATATCCACAACGTACCATCGACCAATAGATAATAATCTCTATCTACGCGTCGTGTGATTGTTAGACAAATGCTTTGTACTCAGCCGACCCGAAGGGCGCAATGTGGTTAGTATTTACGTTTTTTTTTTCCACTTGAATAAATAGCAATTTCTGTAGGACAATTAAACTATACCATTGTCGCTTGTGAATTAATTGTACTTAGTACACACTAAATAGCAATTCCTGTAGCACAATTAAAACTATACCATTGTTACTTGAATTAATTATAATTGTACTTAGTTACTACGAATACAAACACGTAAATAAATACGAGAATAAGCGAAATTTACAAAGGCTAGAGAAATCAGAGAGATATTACATTACATATATTGTTTAATTAATTTAAAGATTCTTGAGATCATTTTCGTATATATCGTCCTCGTTTTAGATTTTCACATAGGATTGTGCTTGGATTTTCGCAAGAACAGTTCATTCAATTAAGGATGCATTGCCTATATTGTGGTGTGCACAAAAACTACTTTTACAAAAGCACACATTCTATGTCGCATTTAAAGGTTAAAAAAACGACAGACACAAATTTGATGGTGTTTCGGGAAAAAAAAATTAAAAGATAGTTTTTCAGTATAAAAAAGTAAAAGTATATTCAAAAAACATTTTTAATGATAAAATTAATAAAACATTGTCTTAAATATTCATTCAAAAATAATAACACAGACTTTCACAGTCGTTTTTTTTCGTCTGGTAAATTCGAACACAATAATGGTTCTGATAATAACCATTTTGATACTTCTTTTGTTTATTGTGAATAAGTCAAAATATGTTTTTTATTCTTTCTTTACTATATCGTGAAGTACAAAATATTAATATTTGCTCTTTAAAATAAGCCCTTGTCTTTCACACTGTTTTCCTCTTATTGAATCACGAAGATTTTTGAAGTTGAAAAATTTAATTATATGTATTTTTATGAATTTTTATAAATTTTTTTTCAGAAGAAACCTTGAGGTTTTGTCAAAAAGCTATGATTCCAGAAAACATATATGTAGATAAGAGATATATAGCTATATAGATATATAGAGATATATAGCTATATAGATATATAGACGATGAAATATATAATTATATATAGATATAGACATAGATATATATATATATAAAATATATACAATACAGGTTCTTATTACTGTAACTCTGTTGTATATATTTGTATATATAGATAATTAGCGTGTTTCATCCGTCGATGAGTACACACTTTGTAAAATCTATAATAAATATACTCTAATATATTAACAATCTGGAATGTCTTTAGTGTTTCGAAATGTGCAAGAGTATTTTCTTGTTTTATGTTTCGCACACAAATAATAAAAATAATTTTCTAATTTTTGAATACCTGCATTGTACACTGCAATAATATGAATACTGGCTTGTTTCAAAGTGCACAAATTGTACTCCACGATAATAAAAAACCTAAATAAGAAAAATTATCGATTACTTGTAATAAAAAACCAATATCTTAAAATCTTAGCAAGATAAAAATATTTCAAGTCAGATTTACATATCAAACAAAATTATATATATAGTTTATTTCACACACAAAAGAAATTCCATATAACTTCTAAACAAATTTTACGATCAATCTTTCAGTTTTTTTTTACATAGCTATGTAAAAAAATGAAATAAATGAAATGATATATACAAATGTGATAAATGTATTAAATAAAAATTATATTCTAATTCAAAGTTGATTATGTTTAATTATACAATAAATCTATGTTTACGAGAAAAAATATAAATATTAACACGTATCATTTACATATTAGCATCTCATGTTTTGCAGAGTTTCTACGCGGCAATTCATCCTTAATGAAGCAATACTATAAAAAAAATAATCCCAGAATTATCGCTTTTTCTTTGAAAAATAATAATAAATTAAGAAAAAATTGAAAATATAAAAAACATTTTTAAATAAAAGTTTTTAAAAGTTTGAGAGAAAAAAGCGTAAATATATTAATTTAGATTAAATAAATTTTTTAAAACAATTGATATAAATATAAACAATAATATAAATATAAATCAGTGTTATAGATTAATATACGTTTTTCAAAATTGTATTGATATAAATAATTATTATAAACAAAATAATTATATAATTTAAAAGTAAAAATTATAAACAAAATTTACAGTTTGTTTTAAAATACTTGTTATAATACAGAGTGTATCACCTGTGTGATATTAGCAATGTAAAAGTCACTAATACTACGCAATGTGTCAGACGCTCCATATATCTTATAACAAGTATATAACAAATATATTTCACATTGGTCATTATTTAGTTTCATTTTAATTATACAAGATGTCCTTGTAAACTCAAAATCGCAAATTAAATGACGTGTCTCGTATTATAGCCTCGACAATTTGATATTTTTGTCTCACAATGATCTCAAAAACATGTCACTTAAGCTTACGGTCATAAGTTTAAGGAAATAAATAAAATTTAAAAATTACGTCTGCTCACTCTTGGTTTTATCCGTTTCTTCATGCGATACTTTTATAAATATGACAGTTAAGTGTACCGCGCGCGCGCTTCTCATGTAAAAAGATATGTAATACACAACACCTGGATAGAGCTCAACGGGAGAGCAGTCGTTAAAAAAAAAAAAAAAGAATCAAGCCACAGCCAAACTGCTTTTTGATTTCAAATGTATAAAATTAGTCAAATAAATAATAAACGTTCCATTTTTTTAAATAGAAGTTCAAGAAACTGCGATAATTCTGAGATCATATCTGTGTAAGCGGGTTTTAGCTGCTGTGGGACTTGTGTCATGTATGCTTGCCACACAATGTGCTTTGTGTGTGACACATTTTATCGCGTGATAGATTTCGACTAGCTAAGTTTGATACAAGTCTAAGACGAAATTGTTATTCAATTATCGATAGTACTTAAAATATATTAGATTTTTTCGCGCAGTTTGTCGGCGCTTTCCTGATCATTTAGCCTCGATTTAAAAATTTTCCGTTTTTTTTTTTTTTTTTTTTTATTGCAGAAATTTCTCTGTCAACTCGATAAAAAGTCAATATAAAACGCGAGCCCCGGCAAAGGGCGATTGATCACACCCAGCGAGACTTTCTACAAGCACATTTTTGTTGCTGTTTAAATCTTGCATAAAACCCGAAATAGAAAAAATGGCAGTGTATAATGTGTTTTTCGTTTCGGAGTAACTAGCTATAATGTATAAAGCCTCTTATTTTGTCGCCGTAGTATATTGGTCGTTCTCGATTACAAATGTCTCGATGATTCTTCTTCAGAATCTTCATCAGGCTGGTTTATATACTTCCGTCAAATTCAGTTCCTTGTGTGACGGCACAATCTTCGATCATCAGCGATCGAAGCTGTACCGTCCGACTTTGACTCATCCAATCGCACCGCCTTCTTGATACGGACCAGTTATCATGCACGGATGCATCGGGAAGAGCGTTGTCCAAGTCATCGTGGTGTAAGTAGGCGATCTCATCATAAACTGCGTATTGGGAACATTTGGAATGTGCGGTGGCGTTATTTTTCCATTTGTGGTACTTCCCGGACTCGCGGTAGTCGGCGTCGGTGATTTGGTTGTCGACGAACACGCGCTCGACGTTGTTGCGCCTAATTTTCGCAATCGCGTTTTTTCCTCCCACTCGTCTGAGCCGTGTTTCGGCCTGTTCAGATTTCGATGTTGATAGAACACTAAGCTGATCCTGTTCGGATTGAGGCGATTGGGTTTTTTCAAAGCGGTGGTGGAGTGCGTCTCGTGTTTCGCGCATTCAAACAGTACACTGCCGTGGCTCAACGCAATTGCAACACCACCTATTTGCGGATCCTTGAAGCATTCCTCGTTGTCAGAATAATCTTCCACTTTGCCGAGTGGTTTCGCCTTCGGAGGAGGTTCCGGCAGTACCGGTAAATAGCGTGGCGGCCCGTAGATATCCCATCTTGTCCAACCGGAATTCAGACCTTGATAAGTTGAATTTAAATCCTGATACGGATATTGAGACGGATGGAAGCAACCCTCGCGTTTCGGTTGCTGGTAAAATTGCTGGGAATATTCCGGCGTCTGGTACGACTGGTGATGATTGTAATTGTAACCATCCCACGAATTCGCGTAAGATTTTTCGTACACCGGATAAGTTGGATAACCGTATTGGGGAAACGCGTGATGACCCAAACCGGACATGGCATGAAAATCCTGTACCTGTTTCATTTCCTCGGCCCATGCAAACGAATTCGGATTGGAATTGGGTATATCCTGTCGGCTGTCATAAAATCCGTCTCGCAATTTATCGTCCGGACAATTGGTTTTCATTAGTGAAGGTATGAAATTGGTTTTCAGCTGATTGGATATTGAATTAGTTTTCAACTGATTGGATATACAACCATTTTGCATCGAGTTGCTATTTAGAGTATCCGCAAAGATGGCCTTTGAAGATTCCGATGGCTTTAGAAACGTTCTACCTAAGTGATTTGGATACGTATTAGACTCTGCGGACGGAGTTTGATTGGATAACGTTCGTGACGGCGGTCTTCCTTTTGGCACTCGGAACGGTGACGACGCCGAGGGTGTTTCCCAGGATGGTGTTTTAGCTTGATCGGGTCTCATTAGTTTATTCACACCAATCTTCTTGTCGTTCATTTGCTGATCATTGAATTGCTGCAGATTCTTAACTTGATTGGGATACGAGTTTGCCATATTTGAATTCCGTAAGTAAGCAATTTGATCGGAAGACGGGGATGAAGAATGATTGACCACGTAGGGTTTCGGTTCCGATTGTCTTTGCGCGTAATAAACGGATTTCCGCTGATCGTTTGTCACTAACGAACTCTGCATGTTATTTCGCTGTTCGAACGCCGGCAAATGCAACAGATTCTCTGAATTTGGAATTCCTATCGACTTGTAATCATTGTTGGGATTGTTATTGTGATTATTCATGTAAGAGAATATATTCGACACGTTATCGTTGCCGTATTGATTTTGATAGACGGGATTTATTGATGGCGGAATCTGTTGCGGCGGATACGGATGCTGCATTCTATTTGAAACCGGTTGCTCGACGTGCGGCTTCAACAATTTCGTGGAATTTTCGGCGTTTATGTAATTTTGCGTCAAGGTGCCTGAGTATTTTTGCTGACTAGAATCTCCCGTGTATCTTGAAAATGGCAATCTCAGTTGATCGTTCTGTCTGTTATTCGAAGTGACGCAAGATCCGGCAACCGACGTGTGATGATTGTAACCGTTTTCTACGTTTGGATATTCCAGTCCTTTCATTTTCATATCCTGATGTGTCGAGACACAACCTCTGGGTGACGTGTTGTAAGACATTTCTCCAACGACAGCATTCGTGTGCGAGCGCGGCGATACGGAATGTGTTCTAGGTGAGTTTCCATAATTTCTCGTCGAATCCACCGTAGGATTGGATAAGTTTCTCGAACCCGGTCTGTGCTCTTCCTGGGAAAACGCACTTCTGGGTCTGATGTCGTCCAAGCTGGTACTGTCTGGATCAACTTTGACGTCCCTCTCTAAACCACCAAACGAAGAATATTCTCCCCACGGATTCAGCCAGTTGCTAGCTCCCCAACCCTGATACATAGACACCGGACTATCCAGGACCGTAGACGATACTTGAGAACTTTGTAACTGCGTGTCAATTCCCTCGAACGTAGATGACATCTCCAATGATAATTGTCCAGAGGAATCCGCGTATCCCGGGGGACGTCCGGCATCTCCCATTTTGTCTGCCATGATCTTGACATCTTTCTTGCTGAGTATATCGGACTCGTCGTCCTTTCTTTTCTTTCCGTGTCGTCTGCAGGGTTGAAGCGGAACCGAACGAACTCGAACCTCGCACGGATATCTAAGAAGCAAAATGAAAACATCGTAGAACATAAATTTATATCTGTGAGATATAGAGAAAAAATCAAATTGAATTTGTGTCATGCTAAATAGATCATTTCTCAAAATGCTCACTTGCTTAAAACGTCAATAGCGCCCGAACGAATCTTCTTTTCTTGTTCTTCTTTCGAACCAAATTCATCTGTGTCGTCCATTATGTAAAGAGGTAGCACATGTAACTGCTCGTCCTCGGGCTTTGTTAATGTTCGATGTCTTGTTAGGCTAACTACCTAAAATATAACAATAAAAGTTAAATTTGCTTTAGTGTCTGTAGAAACAAATACTCGTTTGTTCAAGTAAACTTTCGAAAAAAAAACAATATTGCGTTACATATCGCTTATGTATTAGATTAAACCTAAAAAAAGTTACATACCACGGTACACCCGTTGTTCATATTGTGCACGTCCCGATGAGAGTGCGCACAGAAATCGAGGCAAGCTGTAACTCCTGAAAAAGGTCGACCTGATTTTAATCCTAAACGGCAGTCGCTCGCTTCCTGTTCGAATTGAGTTTGATTTTTGAAAGACTGTGGCGCGAGACTAAGATACAAAGGTGACAAATGTCCCGCTAAAAAGTGCAATTTCTCTTCGACTTCTTGTTCCTGAAAAAAAAAAAAAAAAGAATTTTTATAGCGGTCTAAAATTCAGATTCTGTTAATGTAATACAATTTAATATTTGCTTTCGTATGTGCGTACGATTTTTCATTTGACCGAAAATTGATCGCGTACCTCTGATCGTACTGACAGTCGAAACTTTCGGACGGTTTTGCTTCTGGCGTATTTGCAGCCGTTGTAATACATCGACCAGGAACAACCAAAAGAAAAGCTGGCGCCACAAGTATCAGGATCGAGTCCCTGACATGCACAAGTTCGCGGTTCATTGGTACCGCATCGTCTGTTCGTCGGAATGCCAAATCGATTAAGTTTGTGAGTCAAGAAAGAATAGATACGATCCGCTTCTTGAGTAGGTACTCCTTCCCAGGCGACCATAGCTACGACGATCCACGCGGTTGGACATTTGTGACCTTGGCGATGTTTTACGATGGTTAGTAGTTTCTCATCGATGCTGGATCGTCGAATAATCTAGCGAGTTGTTGGCGGTATGTTACCGATACACATTTTTCTCCTCTTCGGAAGCTAATATTATTTTAACTCGTTGCCAGCTACGTGCGATTGTTTGTTTTTGGAAAACAACTTACCCACTTGGCCATTGGACAACCTTGCGTAGTTTTGCCTTCCTTGCCGGTGTAGATGACCTTCTCAAATCTTATAGCGTTGCCCTTGAGGCCGGATCTTCTTTCGAGGTCGTTCCGAAGATCAGGCAGACTTGCAGCCGCCCCGAGATGGGTGTAGTATGAGCCAGGCTCTGGCGGACCTTGCGGTAAATTTCATTTTACTTGCGGGCGCCAGAGGACGCGTCAACAAAAGGTAGCAATAAAACAAGAAATATTTATATCACATTTTGCGAGAAAGGGAAGTTAGGCACACGATCATTTCGGAAAGCAAAGACAAGATGTATTTTGCCAAGAGCGTTCCTCTAAATAATAATGTCTTCAGACATTTCTGATACGGAGTCTAAGCTACAAGGTTCTTTATACTCGTATGCACTAAAACTCGTATGCACCACATTACGAGTATATAAGAGAGGAATCACCACGGAGCTATCAAGATTCTAAGACTTGGAGAGAAGAAATTATACAAAAATGTCGAAATTTTTTTCTCTCATACGCGTGCAAACTATTCTACATCAATATTGTAACTTTTTTTTATATGTTTTTGTGATCAGTCATATTCTCCGATGTTAGCATAATACGAAATTGTAACTCACATTTGTCAGCGGGAAAGCAGTCGCAGTCGGGCACCTCGGTTCTGACATTGTTCTTTAGTTTGTCCAAGTGATCTTGCAACTTTGTTGTTGTGGTAACCGGTGTTGTGGTAGACGGAGTACGCGGGCTATGCGATCCCTCGGTTTTTAATTCATCCTTCTGCGAAGACTCGTCCAATATCTCGTCCTTGGTTTGGAGCCCCTGGCAACAACCGTCTTTCAGATGTTCGGGTGTTGGCTGTTCGGTTCCACCTCTTCGACAGCACCACGAGCCGGTTTCTGGTGACACTTTCGCGGGACCACCGTCGCCACGAAATTTGTAATTCTTTTCAATAACGTCAGACGTGTCATGGATGGACATATTGCCGTTGGTATAATCTCCGACATCCTCTTGTTTGATTACGTGACTAGAATCTCGCGCGCTAATATCTTGGGAAGACGTGTGAACGGTGTCCGTTGTCTTGAGAAAATTCAGATTGTTGTTTCTTATCTCGTTGCTGTTCGAGATCTTTTGAGATTCTTCGAAAGACGTTTTCTCTATTTGATTCATGCACAAACTTTGCTGGAAAGATTTGTCGTCAATGTCATCGTTGCCTTTTCCCTGCGTCGCTTCCCACGATTGTTGATTCTTGTTGGTTTCGTTATTTAAATTTTCGAGATCTGTTATTTCATTTCCTGATAATGCCGAATTACTCGCGTTTTTGTTGTTGTTGTCATCATCATGATTATGCTCTCCTTCCGACCATCCCCATAATAAGCCACCACCATCGAGCAAACCGTTTACTCGAGGGTGGTGGCTATGTGATAAAAAATTATCGGTCATGTTTTCATTAGATTGCGTCATCGAAATAATGTTTGATTGATTGATGAAGTGATCGGTATGTTTTTCTTGCATCTGGTCGCTGTTCTCGTGAGCATCGCGTATTCGATCGTCCGTTCCATATTCCGTAGCGGATCCGTTATTACTACCAACGTGTTGTATCTGATGATGCTGATGAGTTTGCTGTTGCATTTGTTGATGTTGTTGTTGTTGTTGTTGTTGTTGTTGTTGTTGTTGTTGTTGCTGCTGCTGCTGCTGCTGTTGTTGTTGTTGTTGTTGTTGTTGCTGTTGTTGTTGTTGCTTGTTTAGAATCATCGATTTCAATCGGCTATTGAGATTCACCCGATTAGATTGAGCATAGACATTGCTTTCCGAATTGTCTTGATTCTCAGGAAATCCATTCGGTTTATTGGTCTCCACTGTCGTTTGTTGTTGCCACGTTATTCTCTCTCCTGTGTTTTGTATGTCTTGGCTTGTCGTCTGCTGACCCCAACTCGGTTGGTTCTCCGACACCGAATTTGGAGACCAAGACATTCGATTGTCCAGCTTGTTTTCTTGCCACTGATGGCTCGGGGTTCGTCTAGGACTGGGTTGAGATTCCTGCCATTGTTGATGCGGCTGCTGACTATTATCGCTTTTTATGCTACTCGGTGACCAATTTGGTTGACTAGTTGGCGTATCAGGCCACGACATTTGATTAGACGGTGTAAGTCTGGGGTTCTGCTCTACTTTGGTATGTTGTGACCACTGTTGTTGTTGTTGTTGTTGTTGTTGTTGTTGTTGTTGTTGTTGTTGCTGCTGCTGCTGCTGCTGCTGTTGTTGTTGTTGTTGTTGCTGTTGTTGTTGTTGTTGCATATGCTGTCCGGAAGGAGTCAGCCTCGGATTCTGCTGAGAATTTTGCATGTCTGAACTATTCTGTTGCCAGGTACGTTGAGTTGAAGGTGTCATCCTCGAGTTTTGTTGAGCACTGCTGTGCTGATGTTCCGACAGTTTTGGAGAATGCTGCAGCCAGGTCTGGTGTTGAGACTGCTGCTGCTGACTGGATGGCGTTAATCGTGAGTTTTGAGGATCCCGCAACTGTGGACTCTGCTGAGACCAATTTCCCTGAGTTTGTTGCTGCTGGTTATCGGCGTTATCGGACCACGATTGCGGCGTTTGGGGTTCTTTCACGCTTCCAGTCTCCCAACTCATGTGACTCGCTGGTCTCGGCATTTCTTGCTGCATCTGTTGGCCGCTTTGTTGCTGTTCCAACTGTGACTTCATGCCCTGCATATTCGGTTGTTGTTGCGAAGACTTCTGTTGTTGCTGCATTGTTCCGTCTTGCCAATTCATGTTGCTATTGACATTGCTGTTTATTTTTCTGCTCGTGTCTGACCACATATGTTGCTGATTATTTTCAACCACCGATTGTTGCTGCTGCATTTGTTGTTGCTGCTGGTGATGATGATTTTGTTGCTGTTGATGATGATTTTGGTGCTGAACCATTTGCCATTGGTTCTGCGCTGATTGTTGACCCATTTCCAAATAGCCTGGGTACCCATTAGAGTTGTGTAAACTCTGTGGGTCCGGTTGAAGTGGATACCCAGGCATCTCGTTTCCCGACACGTTGTTGGCGGCAATCGTGGCAAATCCCTTTACCTGTGTGTCAGCGGCAGCTTGTTGCTGCTGTTGAGACTGCTGCGAGCCTCCTTGTTGCTGCTGACTGCTTCCGTCCATATGGACCGAGCTGCTGCGACTCGTTGGTGTTGTTGACGGAGGCGGAGCCATCGTCACGTCCTACAAGAGAAGTCGATGTTCCGCGATATTCAATATTTGTTGCGAATGTGGTTTATAAGAGTTTTTAAATCTTCCATTTTTCTAAATCCTCAATTTGATCAGAAAAATACTCTTACTTGTTGCTGATACCCATTAACATAATCCTGTCTCTCGTAAGCAACCGATTGGTTAGTAGTGCCCGCAGGGTCTACGAACTGTCCATTTAACTGTCTTTGAGCTGTCGATACAACCGCCTGTCCTCCAACGGGAGCCAGTGGCGAAGGCTGTCCCGCAATGGCATATTGACCCGTTGTTCCGGCTCGTTGGAACGCAGACTGATCCGCAGTTATAAATGTTTGTTGCTGATACGTGACTAGAACGTCAAAATACGCACATGAAAATATAAAAGTTTACATAACGCAAAGCGAAAATTTATTTTTAGCACGTTGCCGATCGACGCGGGAGATCCTCCCGGATTCTTTTTTTCAGGGTATAGACTCCGCGTGGTCGGTAATGTGTTAATATAAAGAACATCGATTTTACGCGCGAATAAATTTGAGAAAATAAACAATTTGCGCTCACCTGGTTGAGGATGATAGGATGCCGCGGCGGTATACTGGGTGTGATACCTCAACTCTTCGAGCTGATTTGGCGCGGGAATCTGTTGAATAAATTGTTGCGGTGGCCATGGTGCTGGTGATGTTTCGACCGTAACCGCGCCAACTGGCGCGACTCCTTGATGCCAGACCGTGTTTCCAAAACCAGCCGCGGGTCGGAAACCAGCACCGGTATCTCCGTAAAATGGCATCACTCCGGGTGACTGTGCATAAGAAATCCGAAGAAATCGTTTAATTTTATTTCGCTTTTTCTTTTTCTTAGATTTCTTAGATTTTTTTTATCTTAATGCGTCGAAAGTTAAAAAACAATTTTATTCATTTGTTTAAAAAACAATGTTTAATGACAAAAACATTGTGTTAAAATATTGGCATTTTGTTAACGTTTGATCAGCTCTTTTGTTTTTCGGAAATATATCTGAACAATTGCCGTATTTTCTTCATAAAACCAACAATAAATTTTCATGTTGTAATAAATAACAACGGCAATAGCAATCCCGCGAGATAAAACGACGCGATATGCACGTAAAAATGGAGCTGTGCGAGTTCACTTTCGTTTATTTTCGTTCGCTCGGTCGTTCTCTCGACTTTGCCTCTCTCTCTCTCTCTCTCTCTCCCTCTCTCCCTCTCTCCCTCCCTCCCTCCCTCCCTCTTTCTCTTTCTGTCTTGCATTCTCTGTCAACGCGTTAGAGCGAAAGAGAAGATCAGGTGAGCGAGGTTGGAACGACGGAGACGGAATTGAAGGGAAAAAAAGGACGTGTCGAGGCTGTGGCAGAGGCAAAGAGGAACCATCCGCAGCGATGCGAGGCAAAGGAGAGAAAAGCCGGCAACCTCGCACAGTCAGACTGTAAAACTTTGTACAAAACGAAGAGGCAAGAGTCGAGAACGATTGGCTTGTTCGTCTGCTCGCGAACGACCCTTAGTTCGCCTTTCGTCATTTTCACAACGATTACCTTTAAACGGCGCGCGTGCTATATTCGCATTTTACAGAGAACGCAATTTGTTTTAAAAAAAAAAAAAAAAAAATCGTTGACAGTCTCGTACATCAACTCGAGTTATTAAATGGCTAAAACAAAGTTGAGAGTTTACTCTCTACCGCTCTCACACACACACGCTAAAGTGTCACATGTATATCGGATTTCTGTACAAGTCATCCGATCGAGCGATTATTCACTCGCGCCGTTCCAAGATGCAAAACTATCGCAACGTAATCGCGAATATAGAATTTTTAGCTTTGTGCGCAGAATGTCCGCGTAACTTTTTTTTTACGTATGTATGTAACTTTTAATTTGTAAATGCGACCTCGTGTTAATAAAAATTTTTTACAATTAATATCGTTTGACATTTCCCGAGCGGGTTGTGGCGAAACCAAAAAAACTTTTCTGCGTTTCGCGCGAACGCGATTTTCTCTCATTTTCCGTTTGTTGTCTGACAATTGTCGTCTGTCACGTCTCGACCTGTCGTGAAAAAATAAAAAAACGTCGATTATCGCTTATTTTTTTATTTTTTTTATTTTTACAAAGGAAACAAATTTGGCTTGCGCTGATGGATGATCGATCGTTCCACGATGTCCCGCGGAACATGTAGAAAGTCCGAGAACCTTCGTAATAGTGACCGTGAATCGGTCGGTTTGTGGTCGAGGTTGATAGCTAGCGAAGAGACTTGGGCGTTTCGCCAAGCGAGAGCAGGGATAGTATAACCTCGCGGACTATCATCCACTCCTCTCTTCCACTTACGCACTTCCACTTTGCACTTGCGCGCGCGCGAACTCTCCCTCGGGGAGAAAATCCTTCCGTTCTCGTGGCATCGTGACCTAGGGTAACCTAAGACCACCGGTGTTATAAAACGGAACGTTCTGTGACAGCACCCAAACATAACTCCCGGGAGCCTGAGGAAAGCCACCCTTTCGGCGGAACACTCCGAAAGAGAGCGAGCGGTTCGTCGACCTCGATCAATTTTCGATCCACCCCGCTTCGGAAGTCTTACCGCTGCAAATATCCCATTTCTGTCGCATCTGTCACATCGTTTTGACTTCGATGATTGACTTGTAAAGGACGTTTACGTCGCGACGACGATCGCGAAATAAAAACTTTTTTTTTTCTGAGGCGATTAACACGTACACATGTACAGACATGTATGTAATAACACGTTTCTCGGGTGCGTTTCTCACTTTCCGCGAGCAATCGCGTGCGAGCTGAAACCGCACGCGGTACTTCCCCCAATTGGGAGGAGGAGGCGGTGGGACGCAATTTGCGTACCGGCAAACGATCGCCGGACAGCCGGCATTTCGCGGTTTTCGGTTTATTGCATAATTGGGCGTTCCGATGAATACACGCCGCTGTAACGTTGATTCCTTTATCACCGCGGTATTAGCAATTATCGTATCGACGCCCGCGATTGTGTGTTTGCGTATATATGTATACGCACGTCGGATATGCAGTTCGCGTTTAACGCGTGAAATACACAATTAACGCTAAGCATCAATGAAAACGCGTTTTAAGCGCGACGGGAAAAGCCGATACGCGCGAATTGTGTTTCACATCGTCATTTGCGAATATATATATACATATATATATATACATATATATATATATATATATGTATATATACAATATGTATATGTGTATATTGTATATATACGCAAACGTAAGTTGATCGTACTCTACTGAAAGTGATATTGTTTGCAATTGTCGATAACGCATGCCAACGATGCACACGTGCATACGCGAACGAGAACGCCGCAGATTAATAGAATATTCGCGCGCTCTTGATATCATTTGTCGCACGAGATATTACTGTTGTGCAAATTGAAACAATTATTGCACTCGCGTGTGTAACAATCGCATCAGTCGATCGAGCGAGTGTCAACCGAATAATCATTTCCGATTTCGCTCGATCGATTTCACCAAAGTAAGAGTCGCGTCGTGAGATTTTTCAAGAAAAACTGTTCTGACAACGACGATTTCTCGCATCGAATGTGCGATTTTTTTTTTTTTTTTTTTTTTTTTAATGTGTCTATGTATAAGAAAAAATAATTTGCGCCAAAAAGAAACGCCGATAAAACGGGTGTTAAAAAAAATGCACTTCGGTCGCGAAGGTTACGAATTTATCGCCAACGCGACGTGATATCTCGCGCGCATCGATTCGTTCGTTTTGTTAAATGTAATAAAGGCACACACAACGCGTACCGGTCCCGTTTTCAAGTTCAAACCCGTAATTCGTGTGCGCGTTAATAAAAAAAAAAAAAAGATTATTGAAGTATTTTTCCATTATCAGTGACCGAGATTCGGAGACGTCATTTATCGAACAAAAAAAAAGAACAAAAAAGATCTTGTTACAAATGAGACGAGAGATCTATCCCCTGTACAGCATATACCCCTCCGCTCGAGCGGTTACCCTCGAGCCAGCTTCTTCTATCGTTACTTCTGCTCCACCACTTGATACGCTCGCTTTTCATCTCTCTTTCTCTCCTTTCGTTCCCGGGACACGTCGTTCACCTCTCTCTCTTCCTCCCCCTCCTTCTCTCACTCTCTCTCTCTCTCTCTCTCTCTCTTTCTCCGTCTCACTCAGTGGTTCCTGTTCCTGCGGGTATTGATTCGCGTTGGCGGCCGGTCACCGCCCCCGCACTCACTGTCTGCCGGTAGTCTACCCTTGCCCTCCATGTTACGCCGCTATTTCGGCAGTTGATTCCTTTGCAGACGCGGAACGTCGCGAAGCGACGTTGTTCCGTGAATAGACTAGTAGAATTTTATCTCCACGCCAGATCGATTAATGCTGATCGCGAAGCGAGACGTTTTTTTTTCCGCGTGATTTTTTATTCACGCCAATTGCGTACCACTCGATCACTATTCCGATCTATTCTCTACAGAGAAGCAGATTCAAGTTTACTCTCTTCTAAAATAACAACTGAAATATGAACAACGCGAGAAGAGACATGACTTATTTCGGGAACAGAATTTCGAGCAAAAGCGAAGAGAGAAAAAGAGAGAAGAGAGAGAGAGAGAGAGAGAGAGAGAGGGAGAGAGAGAGAGAGAGAAAGAGCAAAACTTTACCATAGAAACGACAGGTGGTGGCGGATTGCCGTTCCTCAGAGCGCCCGTCTGTTGGTTCGGCGTCGGATTTAGATTGTCCTTGGTCTGCTGCATAGGATCCGGCTGGTGCAGGGATTGTTGCGTTTGTTGCTGGTGTTGTTGCTGCAAGCCGCCGATACCAGCTTGCGGACTGCCAAGTCCGGCTGGTGCGCTATCGGGCGTACTGACTTGTCGCGAAATCTTTCGATAATTCTGTAACAAAGCAATTCACAATGTCGTTTCATTATTTCTGCAAAATCTTGAAGCGAAACAAATTACAAAGAGATACACACAGAGTCATCACACGATTCTACTCCGATGAATAAAATATTAGTATTTAACACCGAGACGACATCTTCTGATTTTAACAAGATGTGTTTGTCGGTTTCTTGTATTATTATAATACATGTATAGTTCTTACACACGATTCTCTCAACTCCGATGAATAAACTATTGATTCGTTTAACGCCGAGACAACATCTCTTGATTTCAACAATATGTTGTCGGTTTCTTATATTATTATAGTTTTTAATATGTGATAATAATTTAACCAACCACGAGAGATTAATATAATAATAATAATAATATTAATATATAATAATATGTAATAGCTTTATCTAGCACACAGTTACCGTAAAACCTTATTACTAAGAATAATTTGTTTCGAATACAAGACCAGAAAAAACATAATGTTATCCAAAAGACGATAGACAGCAGCGTCATTGTTATTTTTTATGCATAATTTTGCCGCGCGTGTAATTGCGATTAAAATTAATTATAAGTTGGTAGAGCTTCAAATCAGCAGCTGTTGCCTCACCTTTTGACTATTACGTTTCCTAGTCTTGTATTTTTGTTAGTACTCAACTTTGCACGTAACTGTGCGCTGAGAAAATAAAGCTATTATTATTGTTATTAATCTCTCGTGGTTGGTTAAATTATCATCGTATTACCTCTTTGTATACAGACATGAATCTTCACTCAAAAATTGTGTATCTAGCAAAAATTAGTTTTTTTTTTCAAATCTTCGAAACTAGAAGTTTTTTCAGTTTGTTTTTTTTTCATCGGCGCAGAATCGTTCAAACTTTCGATAAAAAAAAAATTGAAAAAAATATCGATTTTTTTACAGAGATATTTGGTTTTAAATTCGCGCGAGTCTCACAGAGACTCACAATCAGTCTGTCCAACTAGTAGACGTTTTTTTTTTTTGTTTTGAGTCTGCATGCGAAGGGATCAGTTTATATCTCGATACGCGTAAGTGCAAGTCAGCGATGCGAGGTAAGTACGCGCTTATCTTTTTGCGGACGTCTTTTCTGATCGACGGACTTTCTCTCTGCTTTTGGTACTGTTTGCTCGCTCGTCATCTGTCTCGCAGCTCACATTCGATCTGTGAATTTTCCTACTAACGACGAACAACTCCGACACACTCCGGTAGGAGATAACAGAAAAACGCGCACATCGGTCGCGCGAACAATACACGCGCGAATCACGCGAATTCCCGGTTATCTAAAACTATTCGTATCCAAAATACATCAGTTCTCGCACTATTTGATTTCCCGAGTGAGATGTTTCGAAGCCCGGGATGTTTCTTCTCTCACCGGATGATTTTGGGAAGGAAGTGCGCGCTACCTCCCCGATCTTCAAAATCTAAATTGGGGTGTGTATTTACGAGCGATACGAAGGCCGCGAAGAAAACGACGCGCGAAGGGTCGAGAAAGTTAGCGGGCTCGAATTGTAGGAAGAAAAGATGGCACTACCGAGAGCCGACTACACGCGGCGGTGTGACCCTAATGCTAAAAATAACGACGCGGCTTAAGTAGGCCGAGGCGGCTGAAACGGTTTCCATAGTTCAACAAGCATCGTCAACTAAAGCTTGTAAACTGGTCGCTGGTTCTCTCCTTCCCCTCTCGCACATATACACACAAACACACGAGTGGTTGTGGCTCTTCTCACAAATTTGATCAATTATGACGTAGTCAATTTCTCGCAGCACGATGTCATCGAGCGTGAGAATATTGCTCGATACACCACTACGCGTCTCTGTGTGTGTGTGTATGTGTGTGTGTGTGTGCGTACACGCGCACGAGCGATACATGTGAACATGCGTTACATTATGCATCGATTTATAAATAGACAGCACGTGTCGCATCACGGACCCACGCTTAGCCGTCGAGAACAGAGAGAGAGTTTTCTTTCCTCCATGAGGGAGAGAATCATTTGTCACCCGCTGAGACGCGTGCGGATCTCAACCGCATTCCAAAATTCTCGATCATCACCGCGTCGTTGCAACGAAAGATCATCACGCACGGGCAATTTGCTTTCAATCGGAAATAATCGGTTGCGAAGACACGCCCGCGATCATTTACGAGAAATTCTTTTGTAAGATTTTTGAACATTGCGCACAAGCGTTGTTCGAGCTCGATCTCTTTTGAGAAGAAACGAAGAAGTGGTCTTCTTTTTTTTTAAAAAAAAGAAAAATAGCGCTTTTATTCTTCGTTCGCATACATCGATCTCGATCCATCGACAGATCTCCCGTTCTGAATGCGTTTCAGAAAAAGCGATGGATCTTTTCAAACGTCAATCATCGATCAGGAAGCAACGCACAAGATGAACATCCTTCTTCTTCGAGAGAAGATTTAGAACAGGTAGTTTTCTCCACGGCGCGCATTGTCTGTTTATTCTAGATCTTTTCGCGATTTTATCTTTCTTTTTTTTTGTTTTTTTTTTTTTTTATTTTTATTTTTCCTCCGTGCTGAGCGAATAACCAATTATCTCGCATCAGCGAAGTGATTTATTTCGCCGCGCGAATTTTCAAAAAACCGACAGAGAAAAAGAGAATTCGTTAAGCGACAATTTGTTTTCGCGCGACTCTGATTAATTTTCTGATTGAATATTAAAATTAAATAAAAAAAAAACAAAAACAAAAAAATATAAAATACATATAGAGACGGAAAGATCAATATATACTCTCGTCGTCGTCTTTAAATCTTTTTCGTATATGTATTTCATTTGAAATTCATGTGTGTTACACATTACATGTTTGTTGCCTCGCATAATAATCAAGCAGATATATTATAACGCGAATGTTGACGGATTTGAATTGCTAATTATTCAGTAGCATAGCTCGGGTAGAGGAGGAGGGGGAAGGGAGAGCGACTACTTTCAAAATAATCGAGTACGAAACCCTGTCAAACCACGTGGTTGGCGCGTGGGCATTGACCGACCGCTAGTAACCGATTTCGACGTCAGCGACGTCGGCCATTCCACCCGCGGTGATTCACATTTTGTTAACTTGAGCCAAATGAAAGTACAATGCAACGCGCCACGTGAGTACTTGACGATGCATTAGACGCGATTCATAAATCGTCTGCCATAAAGTAAGAAGAATAAAAAAAATCGAGATCTGCATAATCAAATGAAAAAGAGAGAGAGAAGGAGGGAGAGGAGAAGGAGGAGAGGAGGAAAGGGTCATCGGTACAATCACCTCCTTACAAGATTTAAAGATAAAAATTAAAGAGGTCAAGACACATCACATATGTGCATACACAAGTACGCACGAACGTACACACGCACGAACGCACGCACGCACGCACGCACGCACGCACACACAGTGCCTGACATTTCATCGTTATATAACATTTAAGACGAAAACAAACACATATTACGCATAAAACAATAACACGAGGTAATTCATTTAAATAATCAAAGTCTTGATTCTTTGGTTTAAAAATCTCGATTTTTTCGAAAAATCTCGAAAGTCACTTTGAACTCGAAAGTCGATATTTGAGATCGAGATTTTTAATTAGAGACTAAAAAATGACGTAAAGTTTTGGTCAGTGTGACGTCAAATTGATATTTCTGTTCTCCTTGGGATAAAATTTAATGGGACACGCGCGGTCTCACATCTGCTTTTCAGCTCTTTTATATACACGGTCTCTTATACAAATTGACTTTATCTTACGAAAGCCTCTTTGTGGGCGCGTACTACTTTTTATCTCTCTCTTCAAAAGAAAAAAAAAAAAACAATAGAATAACCTAAAAAAAAAAGTTTAATATTAATGAAGTTTTCTTGAATATATTTTGCGCGTGACTTAAACTGTAATAAATGTAATTTTTCCCAACGTTCGCCGCGAGAAACTCTATCTCGCGGATCGATCGCATTATCTGCAGGTCGTCGTATTTATTTCTCTTCAATTACAGATCACCTTGATCGTTGCTCGTTTCGCGTGCTCACGCTAATCACACACGAAGCGAACGTTGGTTGATAAAAATATATGAGAGTAATTCATGATATTTCGCAGATCGCGCGCCGATAGCGGCGAGAAACGGACGGACACACGTCGTTTGACCTAAATTCCGCGATCACGATAGACGAATGTAACTTGCGTAACCGCTTTTGCGGTTTGTAAAGTCGAGTTTCGCGCTCGACGTTGGTTGGTCCTTGACGCGCAAGGGCTACGCTTCACAAATTGTACATAGCTGAGCGTTTTATCTTATATAATGTGATGCATACACGTTTGTGTGTGCGTGTGTTACCGTGCCGCGTAAGGCTCGATTATGACGATCAAATTGGTCAGGTCTGATCGCGTCACGCGAGAATTAATTGCTCAGTGTCTTAAATTAAAAATTCGAAAAATAAATACACACGTAGACGTTTTGCACGCGGATTGTGACGAGACTTTCCAAGCGTTTGCTCATAAAAAAAATGCTATTATATAATTTTTTTTTTCGCTTCAGCGAAAGATGAAGAGAGTTTGGCGTAGATGAGTAAAAACGCAAGCTATACACACTCGGCTACGTGATCGACATCGCGTTCGCAACGTACCGGTCAAGTTTGCATTTTTTTGATGAATTGTTTGATATTCTTTTTTTTTTTTTTTTCACGCGGATACATTGTATTATTACAAAAAGAAAAATCGTGTGTTCGCGAATCCGATAAATTTTCTCTAAAAAAATACGCTATAAATAATTTGTCTCTTGTATAACGAGCAAATTTCACGTGTTTATTCGCACGTGAAAGAAATGATGTAAAAATAGGATTCGTTGAGTTTTGTGCCGACCGGCCGGTCGGAAAGAGCGGGAACGCTATTGGCAAACGTGTAATCCGAACACGTGTCATCAAATATTTTCAATGTAACGTGGGACCTATTGAAAACAAAATCCGGTATATTTATAAATATGATCGGTGACGACGAACGAAGGAGGGAGAGAGGAAGCGAGCTTCGACTTACTTCGTGACAACGGAGGCGCGTTGCCGAGGGATTCTTTGTCTGACAACTCTGAGACGTCGCGCGCTGCGGAGAAATCACTCAATCCTACTTCAGAATTTCTTCAGTCTGAAGGCACTCGGAGTTTTCATGAATCACCACACCTGACCACGTTGTCTTACTCTACGCGTACATACGTATATATATTTAATTTTTTTTTTTCTACGCTCCTCGCTCGTTCATTTGTCGCGCACCATAATTTGTTTTTTTTTGTTTTTTTTTTTTCCGACTTTTACTGACTGACACTTATGCCAGAAACGGTCCTCGTGCGACACGCTTCCTCCCACTCGAGAGTGCTCGCGCCAACTACCACAACCTGCGCTCGAAACTCACAACCGATAGAATCGATCGCTCGGAACTCGCGAGAGATCACTCTGGCCGCGGAGCGATCCGCCGAATAACTCCCATGAGACGCCTCTCCCTTTTCCTCCGTTCCTCCACCTCCCCCCCTTCTCATCCCTCACACGCTCGCCGCTCTCCCTCCCCCTTCCATGGCCCCTCTTTCTTGCCTCTTCCTCTTCCTCCCGCGCCTCTTCGCGCTTTCCGACTGCGTTCCCACCTTTCTGCGTTCCCTCTTCCTCTCTCGTACGTGAAACGCGCGCGCTAGTAGCACGAGCGCGCAATCGCGCGTGTAGGTGTGCGCGCGGTCGTGCTCGTTGTTTCTCTCCCACGACTCACCTCCCCTTATCCCCCTACACACACTGTAGGCCCACCACGTCGCGCGTTATCGCGGCGCGATATCGCGAATTCCTGCGTCTCCTCGCGACGCGGTACGACGCGTTGCTCCGACGTGTGTTCCCCTGTGTCGGCCGATACACCGGAAGTTTCAGACCGGAGTTACGAAGTCTCTTCGAAATTTTCCCATCTTCAAATTCGATCTAGTTGAGCCACTTTAAATTAAATCTCATCAATTCGCTTTAACGTCATTTATATATCTCCGCTTGTTATCGTTCATCAGTCGAATTAACAATTAATTTCAATCAACAGTTAACGTTTTCAACCTCCATGCCGGTCCTCATCAGAATGCAAATTTCAATTGTTTACAAACATAATTACGTAGAAGACACAATTAGCAGCGATTTTACATTCATTACACTTGTTTGTAATGATCTAATTTTGTATCACGCTCTCGCGTACACACACACACACACATGGACACACATACGTACGCACGCACGCACGCACGCACGCACGCACGCACGCACGCACGCACGCACGCGCGCACGCACGCATAATTGTAGAATATTCCACTTAAGTGGCATATGTATATTAAAACTATATAAAATAAGTAAATAAATAAATTTAATTCTTATATTGTAGAACAATATATATAAAAATATATTATGTAAATATA